CTCGGCCATCGAGTGACGAAAAATTATGAAACTCGGTACATGCATAGAACAACTTAACATGAACAAACCCAAGAAATTTCATGACTATGGGTCAAAGGGTTTTGGAATTACGGCTAATTAATTATTCATAAGCACGTATGGTAATTCAAATGTGTACAGTACGTATATGGGGAAATTCAGTTTTGACGGAGGGTTACGCCGAAAATATTTCGCTGAGCGGCAACCTGTGGTTCGAATTTTATGTTTTTGGTATCAAAAGATGTGCAAGACTCGAGGCTAAAAAGTCAGGACAGTTCAGGCCGCGAAATAACTAACTTTTCAAGAGTATCGCGGAAAAAGTTGAAAGGGGGGAAATCTGCCCCCTTGGGGCCAAAATATGACCAACCCTTTAGTGCCTGGCATTTAAATATGAAATGTTGTAAAGTGTCCTCTGCAGTACCGCACTCACACAGGGTGTTTGTCGGTTGAGGAAAATCCCCACTTCTTCATGGTGCGTTTGGTGCGAGCCACTTCAGAGCGGAGGTGATTTAAGCACCTCCAGGTCTTCCATCCTAATGCCACCGCCACAATCCACAAAACAGCCAAAGCCACGCATAATTATCGGGATTTAATAGCCACAGCAGCATCATTGGCTATCATTCCAGCACAGACGTCGACGCTTTTGAATCGCTGACGGAAGCAAGTCAACTGAGCCTTATTCACAATCAGGCATGCAACTTTTCCTCAGATCAGCTGATTTCCTCTTTTTTATTCTCATTTCTGCCATTCAAAATTGAAAATCACTGTACAAAGTCTTCTGAATTTAGGAATTTCCTCTTTTTTGGTGAGTTTACAGTTGCATGCCTGCACAATGCGAAACTGTCGAAGTTTTTCCACAGTGGAGGCTGGAGATAAAGTTTCAACCCTGCTCTAGCCCTTGTGAGCCACAACATCGCCTCACTTAGCAACAAGATGGTCCTTGACCCCATCCCAAAGACCTGACATCGCCATATTGGAATCAAAGTGACTGCTGCTGTCTCTTCGCAACAATTCCATTCCACCGCTGTTTCAACTTCCAACTGGGAAGGCTTCACCAATGAGCTCAAACACCATCTAGCTGACATTGATCCAACCCCTGATAACTATGACACCGGTTTGTTGATGTGGTGGTGCAAGAACATCCCTAGGGGCTGCCGCACTGATTACATCCCAGGCTTAGCATCCCGTAGTGCTGAACTTTACAGGAAATAGAAACGCATGTATGAAAATGACTCTCTTGCTGTCGATACCATCTCATCTGGGGAGGAATTAATAACAGCCATATCAGAACAGCTTCAAAGCTTGTGGCAAACCCTTGTGGTAACCACCAATATGGCCAAGAAGCCAATATGGCCTCCAAGCCTGGAGCATAATATAAAAAAAAAGCTCAGCCAAGTGAACAGCATTGTAACATCACCGCCAACCAAATAGCCCACAACAACTGCTATGTAAATGGTAAAGTGCCACGTTCTCCTAATAAGCGACCGAAAGCCAAGCTCCGCCAGAAAGACCCCGCCATCGACCTAATTGGCTTCATCAAATCCTTCTCTGCTAATGAACTTGCGACTGGCATAAATAAAGAACAGGAAATCAACCAAACTGGATAACATTTTCACCAAAGAACTGAAACATCTTGGACCAAACGCCTCAAATTGGTTACTCCAGCTCATCAACACCTGCCTCGCCACACAAACAATACCTAAAGTGTGGCAAAAGTCGAAGGTCATCGCCCTCCTAAAACCTGGGAAAGACCCAATGCATGTCAAAACTTATCGTCCCAAAGTCACACATTCAAGTTGCTGGAATATTTCCTCCTCAACCTTCTTGCCTCTTCATTGAGAAACAACTGATACAGGAACAGGCAGGCAGGCTTCCGTCCCGGCAAATCTACAACAGGAGAGCTTCTAAATCTCACTCAGTACATTAAGGACTGCTTCCATAAGAAAAAAATAGATCACCGGCGCTGTCTTTGTTGATCTTACAGCTGCTTTTGACAGTGTTAACCGTTGCTGACTCCTTCAGAAGATCCTGGACATGACGGCAGACCTGACCCTTTGGTGTTCTACTGAAGAACCATCGTTTCTTTGTAGTATTCAAGGGCAGAGTAGAGTACGTCTTCAAAGGAACGGTCCCCCAAGGGAAGACGTTGACCGATGCTCTTGACCAGTCACAGCAGTGCTACACTGTGAGTCACCTGAAAGCGATCAATCCTGCTATTAAGACCCAAGTGTGTGCCTCCTGGGTTGACCAGGCTGGTGGCGTCTCCCCCACTACATGAGATGCATCATCAAGCATGCAGAAGCCTTACCTACAGGATCCAATGCAGGATGGAAGACCTGGAGGTGCTTAAATCACCTCCGCTCTGGAGTGGCTCGCACCAAAAGAAGTGGGGATTTTCCTCAATCGACCAACACCCTGTGTGAGTGCGGTACTGCAGAGGACACTTTACAACATTTCATATTTAGATGCCAGGCACTAAAGGGTTGGTCATATTTTGGCCCTAAAAGGGGGGGGGGGTGGATTTTCCCTCTTTCAACTTTTTCCGCGATACTCTTGAAAAAATTATTTATTTCATGGCCTGAGCTGTCCTGACTTTTTAGCCTCCAGTCTTGCACATCTTTTGATACCAAAAACATAAAATTCGAAACACAGGTTGCCGCGCAGCGAAATATTTTCGGCGCTACCCTCCGTCAAAACTGAATTTCCCCATATACGTAGTGTACACATTTGAATTACCATACGTGCTTATGAATAATTAATTAGCCGTAATTCCAAAACCCTTTGACCCATAGTCATGAAATTTCTTGGGTTTGTTCATGTTATGTTGTTCTATGCATGTACCGAGTTTCATAATTTTTCGTCACTCGATGGTCGAGGTCATGGGGGGGGGGGGGCGGAATCTGCGTGAGATGGTCAAAACAACCCAGCTTTTTTCAGGCAAAAGTGACATTTTCCCATGTTTTCTTAAGAAAAACCCATAAATACATTAATAATAACATTTATTATAACGGAGAAACTCTCAACCAAATACAATATGTGCTCACTTGCCTCGAAAATCTTCGCAAACCCTTCCGAAAGGCAAATTTTAGGTGAAAATGACCCATGAACTTTGACCTCAGGTCAAGGTCACTAAAGGTCAATGGAAAAAATGGCAACATCAATTTTCTTGTTCTCAGGACTCATAAGATTACATTTATAATGGTTGCCATAAATTAACATGAAATTTCGACGGGAACCCCAAATCTACACATTGGCCCCCCTACTATTTTATTTTTGGGACTCTAGTCTTATTAGCCTCGGTTCGAGTCGAGTCGAGTCTTTTGATGAAGGACTCGAGTCGAGTCGAGTCATTTGCTCGCAGTGACTCGAGTCGAGTCGAGTCATTTACCCTTAGGGACTCGAGTCGAGTTGAGTCACCAAAAATTGTGACTCGAGTTGGACTTGAGTCGAGTCATTGACTCGAGTCATTACAACTCTGACTCACATGTACGCATATGTGGCCATTTTGATCGAAATTGGATTCATGCTTGTAGTCCTACGAAATTTGTAGAACTCAGTGCGTGATTGTTCTTTTTTTTTCCTGTCAAACTATGATAAGTGTTTTCAGCAACAGCAGTTGCCCTTCCTTTTATTTTTTAAGTCTCAGAATGAGGAGTCATTGTTCTGCCTGTTCCAGATGGTCATGATTTCAGGCAGCTTAATTAATAACCGTGGGTAGAATCTATTGGAGTTCATAGGAAATGCCATCATGGGTGGTCATGGATTTTGCTTGGTATGCTACCCTGCTACATTTTTACTCTGTGGAGAACAGTGACATTTCCCTATTCAGAAAAATTACTACATGTATAGGTACATGTGTGGGAGATTTTGGCTGTGGACATGTAGACCCACTGAATGACCACTGTCTGTTACTGGCGCTTATTAAACGGTTAACTGCTAACACATATGTCCATGTTCATCATTTATTCCATCCAAATTGTGAGTAATCCTACTCTCCAGGGCAGTGGCACAGTTAAGTCTCAATTCCTCACTCCTCTGATAACATATAATGCTCACAGTGATATCACGTTTACAGTACATGATAGGCCTCCAAAAGTTGTACACTGCAAACGTTACACTCAAGTTTGCTGTATATAAGTCATCAAGACTTATGGTGGCCATGCAAACAGTCACATGACAATGTACAATGTAGTATAATGAACTCTCAAAGTAAACAGTCAAATAATATGCATACAGCGACATAAGCGATAAGCAAGTATTCAGCAATTAGCGAACTTGTACAAAACCAAATTGGCTCGTCTTACACAGCTAAATCAAAGTGACTCTTACTCAGCTGACCATAGAGGCATTATCAGTTCAGTTTGTGGCCTCAAACTACTAGAGTTCTCTAGAAATGAAGTGATTTCGTACAATAATTATCTACAAACATGACAAACAACAACAAAGATGTCTCCTCTCTTTCCGTGCTAGTTACTTGGTTACTAAAGCAGCGCCCTTCCATTGGCACTCACAAGTTAGTGTAAACAAACATTTATTCATACAATTTCTTTTCCCAACAACATCCTAGACCTAATTCTCAGGGTATGCCATCTTGAAACTCAGAGCAAGGCAAAAAATGCAAACAAACATGGCGGGGTAATAGTGTGTGCGGTGAACGAGTGACTCTCAGTAAAAACTTCAGTGTGGCTTCAGTGCACTGTTTTTGGCTTTATATTCTAAGATTCTTCAAAATGCAACAAGACATGACCTACCCAGAATACAGATTGATGTTTCGGGGGAATTTGAGTTGATACGGTTGTCAATCTGCTGTCACTTTGCGAGAGTCACTCATTCACCGCACACACAAAGTGGCACTATTTACGCCGCAATGTTTGTTTGCGTTATTTGCCTCGCTTTAATTTTCAAGTTGGTGTACCCTGAGAAAGGTCTATCAGCCAATAATTATCTGAAATGTTACAAATCTCTTTTTTGTTCATGAACAGGTATGTATATGATGAAGTGAGTCACACACTTTGCCCTGAGAATGGGTTTAGTCCTACTGCAGCTCATAACATCAGCATCGATGTCACCACAGCTTCTGTTAAGCCTGTTAATTTCACATTGACAGTTACAATGATGGATGATTTTGAACTCAGGTACTGTGTAGCCCACAATCTTATTCAGGAATTTAAACCACATGATGAAAGATTCTATTTTGGTTGCACATGAAAAGTATTGTAGGCATGTGTGCATTTACATGCAACAGGCACGCTTAGTGCACTTCCTTGACACTACTAGTACTAGCACAACTTATGCTTACATGTGCACACATGCACATGTTGCATTTTCATTGCATAAAAGCCAACACTATTTGCATGAATAATTAGTAACCACAATTGGGTTGACAAAAGATTGTTCAGTTAAGCAGCTGTTGGTTATTGATCTATCTCCAATACTCTCTACATGTATAATAGCCAAGAGGATTGATCATTGCAGTCTACTGTTTGGTTTGGAGGTGATTGTTAGTGCTGCAGCCCAACTGCAGAACCAAACCACAATTCACTGAACATAGCACTTCTGATCCATACTAAATCAAACCCAACTCAGTTGTTTAGTTGGGATGTTCAGAAACATGATTTTTAGCACTGCGTTGTTTTTTTTGCACAATCAAACTCAAAACTCTTGCCATAAAATTATTTATTTTTAGTTCTAATTAAAAAGCAAGCAATGTCTCAGGCCAAAAGTACCGACTTAAAAGAAGAGGAATTTAATCCGTGTACTGAAGCGTGTCGTGTCACCTATAACGGACATAGCCCCTTTGACTCCCGAAATAGTAAATTCTTTATAAAGGAACACATTTTATGAACCCCATAGTGTTTGTTATAGTGGCGTTCTACTGTAGTTGGACAATTTGAATTTTCTGTCTCACCAAAAGTTACCTAATGGTTTCCAGTGATGAAAATTTCCAGTGACGTAATTGGGGGGCTGTCCCTGTAAGTGTTGTGATGTGAACTTTTTATTGTTAAAACCAGAGAGTACCCCTGCAGAAAATGAGCCCCTTTGCTTAAAGATCCTCAGCAGTTGGGCCACTTATGAATGTTCCCTCCTGATGTGTTCACTAGCATGCCATCATTACCCTTGATGCTATTCTTAAGAAATGTATTTTAATCTATTTGGTGATTTGAAAAAAATTATACACAACAATGTATTATTAAAAATGATTTCATCTTAAAAATATTGATTAGTCTTGTTTTAATTCACAGGACTCATGTGCCTAAAACAGTTGTGGTTAGCCCATCAAACCCAAAGGTATTGCTGTTAATATTCTTTGACAACATCAATTAGATGAATATCTTATCAAAAGACTTCATAAGATATTGTATGCACTGAATAAACTCACTAAATACACCAGAAGCAAACCAATGTCTCATCTGGAAGAGCGGTTTGTGTTTTTGATGGGATTATTGCAATTTTAGCTTCTTTGTGTGTATGAAAACAATAATTAACAACGTTTACATGTAACACAGTTATTGCATTAACAAAAAAGCAATATGTAAATTTGTATTTTTAATTTTTCTGATTTGTGTGTCATATGTCCATTCTCTTGAACAAAACTGATTAAATAAAAACATTTTTATGAATTTTCAACTTGCAAGGTTTAATTACTAATGGGGATAAAAAGAATATTTTTTTTTATTGTGGGCATCTGTGCATCTGCAATCTTTTGAAAAGACTTTCATTGTGGGTAGCTTTTGCACCTGTTACACACAAAATGATCCTCCCGTATCTGCCTTGTGAGAACTGTCAGGATACACATAATTCAAAATTTGTAGGTAAAGTTACGATTATACCATGTGGTATGATGGTGTTGACAATGATTACAGTGTCCTACATGTACTTGTGCAATACCCATAGTAAATGGATTCAAACTCTGACAGGGGAATATGGTGTGTGTATTCTTTAAGGGCAAGACACTTTACTGTAATCCCTCTTACCATCCTGGACTATACATGTAAATGGGTGTCTGTGAAGATAAAGACCGTCTCATGAAAACTGGTCTCATGACCCAATGAACAGGGGTAATAATTGTGAAGGCTTTGAAGTTTTATCAAAAGCTACCCGGTATGTAAGCAGCACATTATTTGTACTATTTTGAGCCATTATGCAAGTGTAATATTGTTGCAGCTTACTCCTTTCTTTCAGTACTACGTGTACAAATTCCCAGACGATGCTGACTTCATGACAGTCCAAGCGACCTCCACATCTGAAATATGTACTGTCATCTCTGTTCAGCCTGCTCAGGTATGTACGGTATGTCATCACACATTCAGGTACTGGACAAAGAGCATGAATGTACCATGTATACATTGGATAAAAACTTGTCTTCGAGTTCAGTTTTCAACAAAGTAGTTTATTAATTCTAAGTGACAAAGATTTTAACTTTGTTCTTGTCTTTTCAAAACCTACTTTCCCTTATTGTGAAAGAAATATATTTTGTTCTATATCCACAGATATTCTTGTTGGTTTTAAACATGGCTAACTAGTTCGATGAGTCCAACAACCCAAAGTGCATTTTCTTTTGGTTATAGGAGCGGAGCCCGTAATGACACAATTCCGAGAAATGGTTTTATATTTTCTAGATTTAAAGCTAATGCAAATAAAAAATTAAAACTGAACACAAAACTGTCATACATTGAGCATTTTGCATAATTTATTTAGCCAACATTTTTGTGTCGCCTGCACAAAGTTTTGGGAGACACTAACCAGTCCTAAATTCTGTATGACCATAGACCCATACGTATGTTTAAGTTCTTGAAAAAAAATGTATAACTCCTACATGCTCTCATGAATTTTGACAAAACTTGGATGCAGTAATCCTTGGGTCGGAAGACACAATTCTCTCATTGGGTTACTGAGGTCAAAGGTCATGTGGGGGTCATTAGAGGTCATTGTTCAAATTTGCTTCAAATGTTTCACTGTCTTCAGAATTTGATGTGTTTTAATAGTTACTTGGATGGAGTGATTCTTGGGTGGGGGTTCATCACAACTCTTGTGAAATTTAAGGTCAAAGGTCATGTAGGGGTAACTTGAGGTCGTTTAAAAATTCACAAACAAAATTGACTTTTTTTCATAACAAAACATATAGGGATTGGTCCGCAGACCACATGTTTTTACATCAATTATTATTTTCCCTAACCTCCCGACACCTCCTTCGACGCCAAAACAATGTGAGAACCAAAGAAATAACATTTGGGTGTCCCAATCATGAAAGTGATGGTATTATTACCGGAATTGATGTGGCAACGCATTTTTGGGGTTTTTTTTTGGCTTTTTTTTTTTTTAAGCGTGGATTGTACAGACAAGGTGGGTACTATTTTTTGCTTTTTTGTGTCCTCATATACATTGGTGTCCTCCATAATTTGCCTTGGTGCCCTCCATCATTTGCCTTGGTGCGGTTTCCCCATTCCTTGGTAGAAAAATTTTAGCAGTTGCAGCAATAGAGGGCGCTGTTGTAGCTACCGCAGACAATTTGAAGGGAAAAAAGGTTGACCCGCATGATTAAAATTGACGTGCGCGCTGACCAGAGACTGACCATTTATTTTTTTTGGCCTAACATGAGTTTCCGTTAAAAAAGTTGTTGCCAAATTAAGCAACACAAGGTTATAATGTTGGTCTTCTTGTGTGTGTGTAGTTGAATTGCTTAATATCTAGGGATCTTCTGTGAGAAAAATCCACCCTGAATTCCTTGACTTTATAGAATAATAGCACAAAGTTGACAAATGTATTATGTGAGTTACCATGGAATTACCCACCTTGTTTTTGATTTGTTTTAAACCCTTACAGTGCCCTGTGTATGATCAGCATCGCAATGTTGAGTTTGTTGGTCAGTTTCAAACAGTAACAAAGCAAGGGGCTATCACAGTGCAGGTAAATCAGTAGATCATTCAACAACATTTTAGTATTATTCATTTTTTTATGTTTCAAATTCCAAATTCATTTGTTTATCAGAGGTGGTATGAGTTGGATGAATTTGATTCAATTCAATCAAACAATGTAGTTTCAACTCAAAGTTCACCAATTGAAAGTACATGCTGTGGAAATGTAATTAACTCTTTCAGTGCCCGCGACATTTCAAAAATTTAACCCTAAAGTGCCCAACTTCAAGCTTTGTTCTAATTATTCAAATTTCTGTAAAAAAAAAATGTAAACAAGTTGTACTCGCCAAACTTGTTGTATCTTGCTCTCTGGTATATCCTTGTTACCTTCAAAAGTCAGTAGTAGTCACGCACCTAGTGATATACCCTGAAACACTCTCTTGAACACAGGGGAATTCCGCACTTTTTGCAGAATATGCATGTGTTGCGTCTGATACCCCTCCTCATACAAACTCTGTTCATTATCAATATCGTCATGATTGTCACTATTGACACTAACGTAAGCACCATCATTATCATTTGTATCGGTATCCCCATTTTCATCTTCTGACTCACCATCCTGTTCTGCAATATCCATAGATGATTCTGAATCAGAAAAGTAATCCCTTTTGCTGTCCCAATCGGCGAAAATTTAATTGATTTCCTCTAGAGATAACTGCCCTTGATAGTAGGCAAGTTGAAATTGGTTTTGAGGTCAAAAGGTCAAAGGTCAAGGTCACCGTGGTGAGTTAAAGGTAAATGGTTTCCGGATGATAACTTCAGTTAGAAATGAGATTTTGGTGTCTTACTTTGGTAGGGGGTTACCCTTAGGAGTAGGCAAGTTGGGATAGGTTTTGGGGTCAAAAGATCAAAGGTCAAGGTCACCGTGGTGAGTTAAAAGTAAATGGTTTCCGGGTGATAACTTGAATTGGAAGGGAGATTTTGGTGTCTAACTTGGGGGGTTGCCCTTGGGAGTGGGCAAGTTGGGTAAATGGTTTCCGGGTGATAACTTGAGTTGGAAAGGAGATTTTGGTGAGCAAGTTGGGATAGGTTTTGGGGTCAAAAGGTCAAAGGTCAAGGTCACTGTGGTGAGTTAAAGGTAAATGGTTTCTAGGTGATAACTTGAGTTAGAAATGAGATTTTGGTGTCTTACTTTGGTAGGGGGTTACCCTTGGGAGTAGGCAAGTTGGATTGGTTTAGGGGTCAAAAGGTCAAAGGTTAAGGTCACTGTGGTGAGTTATTGGTTTCTGCATGATAATTTCAGTTAGACATGATATTTGAGTTTGGAATGTCAGTTTGCCCTTTTTGACAATGTTCGGCTGAGGGGTTTCAACAGCAACGCTGTTATTTTTTCCTTCACTAGCGGTATGCCACGCTTAGCGGGATGACACAATCATGTTTTGAAATGCATTATTCAAATTGTATGATCGACGTTTTGCGACCTCTTTTATCATCAACGTTATGTTTTGTGTAATAGGGATTATAGTGATACGTTTTGGAGTGTTTTCATAGAGATATCGGTAATATTGTAACATTTAAGTATTGAAAGTCCGAAAGAAAGAAATTTGCCAAAAAGGGAAAGTAAAAGAAATCATTCATTTTTTCACGTCCCAAACTTTGATTTCAAAGGTGATACAATGGGGGTCATATATATACCATTTCAGCACTGCGTATACGTGTACTGGCTGCATCTTACATCAGACATCATGTGTGCAGCGCATAGCATACTTATGATGAATTTTACATCAGACATCAATGTGTGACCTCACACTTCCGGTTGTGTGACCGCCACTTCCATGACAGACAGACAGACATCAAACAGACAGAGAGACACCGTAGGATCTTTTAACCAGTTTGTGCGGGATTATTTTGACACGACCAAACCCAGGTGCGGGATTGTTTTCACGAACCTTGATGCCAGATGGGTTCAGGCCGTCATCATCTGTGGATAGCATACCCTGATATTTCCAGGCATTGCTCGCTGCGAGCGGGTCGTAGACAGATATTTCCGGCCTCACTCGTTGCGTGTTTATTCGTTCCGAATACCGCAAAACCTTTGCGTGTATACACGTCATCCGACGTGAACTGGTTAATATAGGATTGTCCAGAGCCCTATTGTTGCCATTGTGTTGATAGCAAGAGGCCTATTCTGAACATTGTGTTGGTAGTGTTTTTGGGTCGTCACAAAGAAAGGCCTGTATCCTTTTCATGCATGGCAGAATATCGGTGAAATTTTTACAGACTCTGGTCAATACCCAGACTGAATGTTGACTGAAGAGAACATTTTAGTAACATTTCCTGTTTCTGTGGGAGACAAGAATATATCCAAAGGGACTTTTTTTTACTCACCCCACACAAAATATTTACTAATCATATTTCTTGTTTGTTTTTTCACAGAAAAAGAAATATCCAAGTGGTTATTTCTTTGTAGTTGCAGTGGTGCAGCCAACAGATAAAGATTGTCTAGGGCAAACTATAGAGTATGTGCCACTGCAAAACAGTAAGTTGACATACATTCATTTCTGAAGCATATTGGTAGTCAGGTAAGTCATACAAGCTGCATACATGAGCATTAGATGGGTTGAAGCTTAAATCAAGGAAGGCATTATAAAGTAAAAGTCATCTTTGGCACTGTAAAATGTTTCTCCTGTATAGGCTCCTCAACTACAGGTTCCTGCACTGCTAAATTCGCCTAGTGCTCCAGGAAAAATATTAACCCATGCAACGGGCATTTAGAAACTTGCAATTTTTGTATTTTTCAGTCTGGAGAAAAAGATCGTTCTGACGATTTTTCTTCCTGTAGTTTTCTACATGCAATGGCTGTCTAGTGTAGTATTTAGCTGATGGAACCTGGATCTCCAGTGGATTCTTTCTGTGCATGCTGGCTGCACGTGATCAGCGGCAGTGACAGCAGGGTTGTGCTTAGGCTTGGACAGAATTTCGGTATTACCAGATAGTCACCTTTTTTTTATAATACCGATCAATACCGACTAATGATTCATGAATACCGAAACACTAGTGAACTCGGTGTGGAATTTCAATACCGCGGTAATCTTCCTTAGTGTTCAGAATCTTTGCAAAAGCCTTTCAAACAGAAAGAGAAGCAACCTCTTTCACATGTTTGATTCCATTCTTTGTGGTTCCAGTCATCCAGGTTCATTGTCTGCTTTGTCAAATTCGACTAGTTAACCTGATACTACAGCAGCTGCAATCCTACCACAAAGGCCTTTGAAGTTTGCTAATGCTGCCGTGTTTGCGTTTTTGTGTGTGTTTACTGTCTGGATGGAAAGTTCAAACAATGTTTTAAACAGGGGCATTTTTTGACAGTCGTGACAAAAACTGGTCATGTTGTTTCTTCGTTGGTATTTTAGAGATTTGAACTCTACTTCATCATGGGTAATTTTTGCCAAAGTAGTTCCCAAGAATATCAGCAACAAGAAAAAATCGCATCAATCTTGGTTATGACCGCCAAAACTTACCCAGGCTTCTTCAGTTGTGGAGCAAGATTTTGTGCTATATGCGTGCGAGGTGCACGTGTAAAGGGAAGGGACTCGCCTGAATCATACGATACCGAGTTGTCCGGGGAAATTGAGAAAAAATATTTCAAAGAACGCGCTCACGTGTACACTCGAATTCATTGGCTCATCAGGGTTACACAATACAGGCCTATCAGACTGTATTTCTGACAGTTGCAAGACATGGCAGAACCTACTAAAACTAAGAAAAGGACATTTAGGAGAATCAGATTTAGATATTGTGTGGGATCTCCATCTAAGGCTGAAACGATACATCGATATATCGGTGCATCGCGATACATTCGTTCACGATACGATATATCGGTACGAATGTTTGATATCGATATTATTCATAATAATATAATAAATAACAGCGGCAGCGCACCAAAACAAAATTGCAAGCAACTGCGATGCATGAGATTAGTACGAAATGTAAAAATAATAATGCGAAGAGTTGAAGTCTCACCTTTCTGAGCGCGCGCACGTGAAAAGTTCATGCGGACTCTCCGTCATGTCCCTTTTCTTCAGGTGGTGCATGCATTTCATGTAGCGTAATTTTTGGAATATAAGCCGCGGCTTATCGTTGATTTTGCCCATGAAAATGTTTACTGCGGCTTATACGCAGGGCGGCTTATACGCCGAGCCTTGAAGAATAAAAATAAGATTCACATGTGTATTTAATGTACTGGTACAAGAAGCGATGTGTTGCTGAAATGAATTATCAATTAATAAAGTTATTAACAAACCGAAACCAAAACCGAGCGGTAAAAAGTACGGTGAAAGCTACGGTCTTAGACGCTTTCGACCAGCCGTACGTGATACCATGGAGGATTCCTCCATCGTGATACTAGTGCAGCTGCTGCCATGCAGCATGCTTGATTCCCCAGCGGACCACACCATTTGTGGTAATGAAGGGGTGGTGTTCTTTCTTGGGAACAATAATAATCAATATTTCCGCGGATTAAAAAAAAAAAAATGACGACTAATACTTGTTATGGTGTTCGAAATATTCCTTTATTAGATAATAAGTTGTTCAACGTCACAATATATATTTTTTCTTGAAATGTATTCAAGAAACGATGTAAAACTAAAAAAGGGGACTGAATGGCCCCTTGCAAAATTAATGGATTCGCCCATGAAAATGTCAGCATCGTTTCCCACGGTGCTACAGGACAAGATCTTTGGTTTTGATTTTTTGAAGAAAGTTACGATCAAAACTTGAACTTTCAACGTAACTACTCGCTAGTAATCACACAAATTTGATAAGTTTTGAGGTAAAACGGGACCTGTTTAGCCTTAGGGCAAAACAAATCAGCAACTGTTTCCACAAAAGCAAGATTTGTAACGCTCCAGTCAGACAACACACGGTGGGTTACATACTCTCTCACGTCACGTGCACCGGAAAAAATGTTGTCATTCCCCGGCGCATGCTGCCGGGCCATGCATTAACTTTTAAGGCCGGGGACCGGACGGGGCAGCCGGCAGCAATTCCCGCACCTTATTTCTCATCATCAATTTCCATATTTGTTTGTTAGAGTATCGATTGTAAATGATTTGATATAACTTTTGTGGCCCTTTTTATAGCTCTGTAGTGTAAATGGAACTGGTTCAGAGCATTTTGACTAGAATTTGGAGGCCTTACAAAATTGAAACCGCTGCGGTCGGTGCGGCTTATACGCCGCGCGGCTTATATTCCGAAAATTACGGTAGTACCTTACTGTATTTGTGTATTATCAGAAACGAGTAGAGCCAGATTAAAGAGGACTTAGACCCTGATTAAGTTCATCTGTTATGATTTATTAATTTTTTTATACCAAGATATATCGCGATATATATCGTATCGTTTGATATGTATCGTGATACGTATCGTATCGTGACACAGGTGTATCGTTTCAGCCTATTTAGACTCCATCCCTGTGGAGTTTGACGTTGACACAATTTGCTTCACACGTCTGTGCTCCTGGGAAAAACTGCGTGGAATTTGTTTCAACTGGATGTCTGACCAGTGGAAATCACACACATCATGGCAAGACAGTACAACGTCACCCACACAGTTTTATCGAGCCTCTTCCGCATCTTCAGCAGCAGTCCCTTTTCATATTTTCATACGATCCTTGCCAAATAAAGTCCTCGTTTTCCAGGTGTGGCACCTTCCAGAATTTGTACCCACTGGATGCCCTCTGCTGCCATGCCCCGGTGGGCGGCCATTTTTCCCGGTCTTCAGTGCGTTATGGTCCTTTCGGGGACGCGAATGCTGAATGCGGACAACTATACTTCTGCTCGACAGCTATGCACATGTTACCACATGTGGACCACGCTGCAGCTTGGATTTATCCCCGTTTGTCCTGGGATTCTTCACGTCTCTGCTCCCGTTCCTGAATTCGGCTATGTTCCAGATCTCCTTTGTGTAGCTGTTCCAGATCTCCTTTGTGTAGCTGTTCAAGATCTCCTTTGTGTAGCTGTTCCAGCTCCCAATCTGGAGGCTATGGTCCTTCTGGATCATTCTCATTGATCTCCAGTGATTTGGACCAGGAACTTGTGGAGTTGGGCAACACTTACATAAAGAACACGGAAAAATCTTCCCTAGTCTCCTCTCAGAGCCAAATGTTCCTTGGGGCCTCCTCAACATGATATTGGTCAGAACTACCCTTCCATCAAATTTTGTGTGGCCTTGGAGGAGTGTGTTACATGTATATTATTGTGTCCCTGCCCAGAATATGAGTTCTATATGAATATTTGCTGACAAATTACCAGAGAGAGTGATTACTCCCAGTAATTACCTTGTTATTAGCAGGTTTGATTTTTAATTTTTTTTAAATTATTTTTGAATTGTTTTTAATTTTTATTTTTTGTTTGTTTTGTTTATTTTTGCAAAAATTATGGAATTGATTCTGAGTGGAATTGCAATTCTCTGACGGCATTGGAATTGATTAAAAAGCATGCTGGGTTTGCCCAAGCCTACCTGGCAGCAAAGAGTAGATGGGTTTCGTCAAGAACAAAATATGACAATTGCTTACAGCACTACATCCAAGGAAGCGATCACTCCCAAGTTTGCATCTTTAACCAACATTCGGGATTGATTGTTCCATCTGTATAACTCTGGTCTCTAGATTCTCTCCCATGGATCAAGTATCCGGAAAGATAAATTATGGTGCCCTGTCAGAATATTGAAATTCTCCATTGCACGGATCAGGGAGCTGCGTGGTAATACTAAACAACTATTTATCACAACGGTTTGTCGCATCATCCAGCCACCGTAACAACTGCTGCAAGGTAGATTGTAGATTGTAGGCCATTCTACCACTCCAAACACCTCTGGCCATGTTTATCGCACATGCAAAGAACGTGTCAGTGTTACATTAAAAGTCTTCAATTCAAGCCTGGTTTCACCGCTCAGTGCCATTGCTGTACCGGACGCTATTTTTTTTTTGGTGGACCGAAATTGCCATTGGTAGTCTTGTTGCCATTCTACAATGTGCACATGTACGTACGCAATGAATCCGCTGCTCCTGCCGAGGGCCGTGCTATTAAGCGTCAACAAGCATCAACAAAGAAACAACAAAGCGTCCACCAGGCAAGCTTTCCGGTGGCTCTGTGGGTTCAGGGAAGGGTTTATGCGGGTTCGATATCCTTGACTGGTATTAAATTAGTTTTGCGGAGGCATTCCAGCCAAATATGGGTGTGATTTACGACAGGTGATTTATGGCTAAAAACTGGCACAATGGCAATTTCGGTCCACAAAATGAATCGCGTACCGCACCGTGTTGTACAGCTGTATTGGCATGTGCGTGTTGTACCGAAGAAAGAAACCTGACCATAACCGAGTAACTATAACTCTACTTCAATGTTTAAGCTAAACCCAACCTCGTCTCCATATGCTCGAAAGGGTCACTCACGCGATCTCCCCATCTATCTACTGTTGGGAAACAAGGTTGACAACAGAACAACACAGGCATGACAGACGAATTTGAAGAGGCCGCTTGGTATTCATCTTTTTCTGTATTACTTTAATTGAAAACTGAATTTCGATTTTCAGTTATTTCCTTTTACCCACCCACCTACAATTTCAAAAAAAGATCAGAATTTTTAAACATTGGTTAATCTGAATGGCTCCTTAGTTCAAAACATGTACATGTCATTACTAAAACATTCAAAGGTTGTAATGTATCTAGTGCAACGTATCTGGTGGGCATTCTTTTAGAATCATGTTAAAAGTAAGAACTCGTCCCGACTTCATTTTACTCATCAACCATCGCACTCTAGATTGATATGTTATTAGGGTTCAGTCATTGGTGCTTTATGAGAGTAAAATGTAAGTAAAGTATATGGTATGCAAGTTTTCTTCTTTTATTAATGAGCCTGGAAATATTTTAGTTTTGACATTAAAATAATGTGTACCACATGAACAATATAACCCTGCTCTTCGCTTGATTGATGAACGATGGAAATGTAGATTTCCGTCATTGTCTTGACAGGTTTTATCTATCAGGAATAGCGATAATGTATCTGGTCATGACATTGACGAAATATACCCAAAGGGTGCTAAGGAAATTTTAATGATATATATTTTATACTATATATTGAGGGCATTCTATGGGCTATTGACAATTGTACCAGTGATACCAGTGATATCTGTGATAAGAAGGCAGGTGTAATGGACAAGATAATTTACATAAAATGTTCAATAAATTTGTTGGAAATTTATATTTTTTTTAAAAACTTTCTTTTTTACTTTTTGACTCAACGGTATTTGTGATTTGGAAATACAAGTACGTTTAAAACCGTATCAGGGGAACGGGTGCTGATAATGGCCTGAGCCAAACTGACCAAACACGTATTTATTTCGTTCTTGTTTAAAGTAGTCACATGATTGTCTGTGCCGTGGAATCGTCGTGGATTTCATGTCATGCATAGTGGGTGACCTGAGCCTGGTTGCGATTATTGTGTGTCGAGATACTGCTTGTTCCAAGAGAATCACACTTGCTCAGTTTTGTGACCTGAGCATTAATTTTTTGCTTGATGCCAGCGCAATGTGGTGCAGAACGCAGCGGCCGGTGGCAGTGCAGTGTTGACTTTAGGTTGAAATACGGACTCATTTGTAGTATTGCGCATGTTATGTGAAGATTGTGAACGTTCAATCAATAAAAGGGACCTCATAGAAGTCCAAATTTCATGTGGCACCGGAAAAGTGTTTAACCCTAAAGGGGCCGGGGGGGGGGGGGGGGCAGAATCTGCCCCCCCCTGAACTTTTTCCGCGATAGCCCTAAAAAAAATTTTTCGCGACCCGAACTGTTATGACTTTTTAGCCTCGAGCCTTGCGCATCTTTTGATACCAAAAAACATAAATATCTGACCACAGGTTGCCGCGTAGCGACAAATTTTCTGGCGCTTCGCGCCATGAAAACTGAAATTTCCCATGTACATCATGTACACAGAGCACACTTACCATTTGTACATATGAATAAATAATTAGCCATAATTCCAAAACCCTTTGACCTATAGTCATGAAATTTCTTGGGTATGTTCATGATGAGTTGCTCTATGCAAGTACCGAGTTTCAAAATTTTTCGTCACTCGATGGCCGAGATCTTAGGGGGGGGGGCGGATCCCCCCCCCCCCCCCCCCGCATTTTATCAACCTTTTAAGACCGGCCGCATGACATATTTTTGACCAATAGAAATGGGTAAATTGCCTTAGGTATTTATGACTGGAGTAAAACTATGTGTTAAATGCAAGACATGTTGGAAATTACATTTGATAGTTTTGTTCACAAGTAAGATATGATAATTTAAAAAACAATTACAGCAATTAACAAGAAAAATGTCAGCTTCTGATATTTCAAGTTGAAATTCCATGGTTATCCTTTGAATAAATGCATCATTTTACTTGTTATATTTAGTGTCTTCACAGGATGTGTTGGAGATTGCCAAAAACCGAAGCAAAGAGATAACAATTTCTGTGGATACAATTTTACCATGTGAGTACAATGTATCTATAAAGAGTAAATGAGCAAAAGAGTCTAAAAGAATTGTGCTTCATACCAATGACCTTTGGAGTGTTGTTTGAATATGCATGTATCATCCTTGTGACATGTATTGTGCATCTTTATGTTGTCCAAACATATTGCTCAGTACAACTTTAACTCTTTCAAATTGTTATCTTAATAACAGCTCCATCATTGTAAGACTTGCTCTTTGATTTGATAGATCAAATTTGATTTGATTAGATCCTGCAATGTTTGAATGTAAACGCAATTGGTGAATCAGACCCCGCAATTTGACACAACCATCCTTGGGTAGAAAATGCGATGTGAAGCAACGGGGTTTACTGTGCATCGCGGTATTGTGACCATGGTGTTCGCCATCCAAGTTATTTTCATGTTGTGTTTTCATTGTCGCTTCATAATCGCTATTTTACTCCCAAAGATTGCCCGCTGAATAGATTTCGCTTTTAATGACTAATAAAGGTTCACTGAACTTTCCCATTCTAGAAAATACTCCCTTCAATGTAATCGCAGGTGAATGATGAATGAAATGTGTACATCTCCCGGCACATAGCCTTTCCTCAAGCGGCAGCAATAGCTTTCAGCCAGCAAGAAGGGGGTTAACAAATCCAATTAAAAGAGGGCGCACTTTCAGTAGAATGCAAGAGGGCACTATTTAAAAGCTGGACGTCTTCTGGAACAATGAGACTGGGGCACTGGAGGCTTAAAATTGGTATCTGGTACCGAACAATCGCTATTACGAAAAATTTCTGTGGATCCCGCAATAGTTGGATCAGTTGTTATGGAGGCATGTTCTCATATCTTTTTTGTTGGGGGGGGGGGGGGGTCGTTTATAGATACACCCCAACAAAGGCCAAATACAAGTGCTTATTGTTTTGTGAATGAAATAGTCGACCCACATAATGGTCTTAACCCATTTGCACAACGTACTGCAGCCATTTTGGGCATTTCAATCAAGTAAAGCCAAAAAAAAGAAAAGAGTTAGTCGGTCTCTGTTCAGACCAAAGTTTTTAGGGGGGGGGGGCACACTCAATACCGAACGGTCTAAGAGTTTCCAATCCACAAGCAACGGACGCGGAAATAAGTGGCATATTTCATGTATTTAGACACACTTTAATTCACAATCACAATTGCTCCCATCGCATGTCATTGTGTCGATACGTGACTAGCCGCCATTGTTGTTGATCAGCTGGCAGCAACTTTGTCTACATGGGCTAGTATCATTCGTTCAACATCAACCTCGTACGGGATCTATCACTGGGTATGAGCTGCCCTCGAACATTTTAGGCGGTGTGGCAATAGAGGGCGTTGTTGGTAGCTAGCGTGGAAAATAAAAAAATAAAAATTGACGCACAATCAAAATCGACGCGCGCGCTGACCAGAGACTATTTATTTTTTTGGCCCAACAGGCAGGAATTTTTTTGTTGACAGTACAAGGACTTTGGTTAATATTCAACTGAAGTGTTTCACAAAATTCTTTGTTGAGACATATTTAAATACCTTTTTGGAATCAAAAATATCGCAGGGACGTAGCTTTCGATTGTCATCGAGACATCTTCATTCAGCTTAGTGAATTAAACCACGCCGGTCATGTGACCACTTTTTTTGGGCGATCACAAACCAATAAATTTAATATTAGTATAAATGCTGCTAATATTCTTTGTTGTTTTATAATTTTGCAGTGTCGGAATACTGGAAACCAATTGTGGCCACTGTTGGTGTTTTATTGGTTTTCTATGTGATAGCTGGAATCATCATACTTGTGCAGTGTAAGAGGTAGGGCATGCGGAGTTCATTCTTGTGTCATCATAGTAGTAACATATCTACAATTCTTCAGTCATGCTCAAATACTATTTGTTTGTCTGGGGAAAAAATAAAGAAAAAGCTCCCGAATACAAGTTTTGGGATTAAAGGCTCTATGAAGTGAATTGTACTCATGTGGTGGAAGATCCTGCTCGGATTGAAACCTGTGACTTACATGATTGGTGTATTGCAGGTCCATCTTTGAGTCAGTAAGCAGGTTGAATTTTTTTCTCTTTTCAGGAGAAAGGAACAACATTCTGAGCATCTTGAAGAGCAAGGTTAGTTTACTGCAAAATGCAAACTTCTGAGAAAGTGCTTTGTATATAAAGACTGAACACTTAACCAGCTCATTTTTTAGAAATTATTTTGTCCTTTCACTAACTTTCACTTTCACGTGTTGTCTTCCCTGCTTTGTGCGTATCGGTATGTTATATACTGTGTGGTCTTCTCTACAATATGATATTTTAACAGCTGGTGTCACACGTGCTCTCTCTGAGGTTCCCTACGGACACGTATTGAAGGGTTGAACCTGCCACCCACAAGGACATAGATAAATATTGTTGATGTACCCTAACGTGGCGCGGCCCCTAACGTGGCGCACTTTGATTTTTCGCCTGTAGCGCCTAGCTAGAGCAAAAGTTTTAACTGAAATTTCGCAGAAAGTGAAATTTCATCAAATTCTAAACACTCCCGTTCATAAATTGCGAGTTTATTTACCCGCTACAAAGTTAAAAGAAAAATTTATTTTGGCGTGATTTTCCGATTTTTTTTTCAAGTGCAAAGTGAAACCTTTGAAAATGCCCCGAAAAAGAAGAAAATAATTTTCTGACAAACATCTGGCTGGGTATGTAAAGTAGAAATAATAATGATTTATCAGAATTGATCAAGTTTACAGAAATTCTTAAATGTTAATTTGGAATTTTCCGAGATTTATTTAAGTGCGCCACGTTAGGGAACACTCCGCCAATTTGTGCCCAATTTCCGGACGCCACCGTTTTTTAATTTCGGCTTAAATTTTATGAAACCGAAATTGTTCACGGAGGTTAAATAGCAAGCATTAATAAGGTAAAAGTACCATTATTTTACTGCATGAATTTGAGGTTTGTCAACAAAGAGGTTTGGCAACACTACACGAGGAAAGTTGGGTAAGCTTCGAAGTGCGCCACGTTAGGGAACACGACTATAAAACAAGGGCAACAGAATATGAAATTCTCAAAAATGATTTCCAGCTAAATGTCAAATATATGTCACTAAGTATACAAGTTTACAGTAGAAATTGTAAAACGGATATCCAAATGGGTCAATACAATTTACACAGGAATTGCTAAAAATGGCATGGATCAATCAATAAATCACACCTTTACTCTTACCCCCCCAAAATCTCTGAATAAGTTTTCTTATTCTCCAGAAAATACCTCACCTCCAATACCTACTAATGCGTTTCCAATTCGCATGCGTAAGCAATTCCGCTGACAATAACAAGAACATTCCATCACCACACACAAACACTGCATGTCCAAGAATCTTATTTGGTACCTCACCCCGTTTTTCCTGGTTTTTCTTTTTGGGTGGGATGGTATCGGAGGTGAGTATTTGGCTTTTTCGGCACCTTTGCCAAAACAGCCTTTGTTTTCGTGAATTTTTTTTTTTTTTGGCTTTGCAGTTTATAAGCGGAAAGTTTGTTCTGAAATTTTTATATTTTCCTGTTTTTGGCTTTTCCGCTGAACAGCAGAAAAGCCTTTGTTCTGATTTTTTCCCCCTTCTTTTGGATATGTTTGGGTCCATCCCAAATCCCATTGACTTTGTACACGTTTTTGGTGTGACCCACTTTTGACCTTAAACAAGTCCTATTCCAATGAAACTTATCTCGGGTAAAGACCCTATAGTGAAGTTGTGTCTCGAAGAGTGACGTCATGATTACGTCATCATGGGTCACGTGACGTCATCACAAAAGTGCATAATTTGAAGGCCTATATCTACAGAACTGTAAGTTCGATTGGGTTGAAACTCAGTATGTTGGTAGACCGGGATGTGTTATAGGTAAAAATTGAGGTGACATCACGATGACGTCATCGTGCAATTTAATATATTTTTTGAATTTTTGGAGCTTTAAGCCATATCTCACGAACGCAACATGCAAAATTGAAAATTCTTGTTGTATAATGTTTGTTAGGTAACATGTGTTTGCCCAACATTTAGAAAAAAGTGTGACGTCACGATGACGTCATCAAAAATGCTATTTTTGAAAACACTTATAAGGGAAGACCCAATCGTCATGAAACTTGGTGGATAGGTAGATGGTGTCATAAGTATGCAAAATCTGAAATGACGTCACCATGACGTCATCGGTTGATTTTTTATGATTTTTTAAATATTTAAAATTCTATTACACTTACAAAATTTTACACTTTCTTTCATGGGATTGACGTCAAACTTGGTGCACATCAAGACCACAATACAAATATGTGAATTGACAGGTGTTGTTGCGATGATGTCATCATGGGACACGTGATGTCATCACAAATGGGCATATTTTGAAGTCCTATATCTACAGAACAGTAAGTCCGATTGGGTCGAAACTCGGTATATAGTTAGACCGGGATGTGCTATAGGTAAAAATTGAGATGATGTCATGCTGACGTAATCGTGTGATTTGATATGAATTTTTGAATGTTTGGACTTTTAAGCCGTATCTCACGAACGCAACATACAAAATTCAAAAATCCTTTTGTAGTTGGTTTGTCAGGTAATAGGTACATGTATATGCACAAAAGTTTTTAAAATGTGTGACGTCACAATGACGTCATTAAAAACGCGATTTTCCCAAACGCATTATAACACAAGTTCCCTTCGTCAAGAAACTTTGTAGATAGGTAGATAATGTCACAAGTATGCACAATTTGAAATGATGTCACCCTGACGTGATCAGTTGATATTTTATGATTTTCTTAATATTTAAGATTTTATTCCGCTTACAAAAATTTACACTTTCTTTCATGGGATTGACGTCAAACTTGGTGCACATCAAGACCACAATGAAACATGTGCATTGATAAGTGTTGTTACGATGACGTCATCGCGGGACATGTGACGTGGATGATGTTAAAAGGTGTATATTTTTAAGTCCTATATGTTGAGAAGTTAGTCCTGTAACTACGGTATGTACTTGCATATGGACACAAAAACAAGAAATACGGAAAAGCCCTGTGTTCTGTTCATTGTTCTATCCCAAATCCCATAGACTTTGTACACTGTTTTGGTATCAGCCCTTTTGACCTAAAACAAAGTCCTATTCTGATGAAATTTAATTCAGGTAAAGACCCCATAGTGAACTTGTGTCCCGAAGAGTGACGTCATTATGACGTCATCATGGGTCACGTGACGTCATCTTAATAAAGGTGCTCATTTTAAAGTGCTATATCTAGAGAATTGTGTAGGTAGACTGGGATGTGTTACAGGTAAGAAATCGAGGCGATATCACGATGACGTCATCATGTGATTTTCTATGGATTTTTGAAATTGTGAAGGTTATCGCAATATCTCACGAACGCAACATGCTAAATTTCTTTTTGTAATGGATATTACATAATATATACATATTTGCACAAAAATGTGACAAATGTATGACGTCATAATGACGTCATGATTCAAAAGTGTGATTTTTTAAAACATATATAAGAAAAGGTCCGATGACTTGAACCTTTAACCAATAGTGGATTTACATACATGTGTACATAACAATCATTCAACTGAGTCATTCAATAAATTGATGGGCAATAAAGAAAAAAACTTTAAGGAAAATTATTGGTCGCTTGCAAAACCAGGGTTTTAACATTGAAACATGATGTCCCCTAATTTCCCATAATTATTACCTGGAAAGTAGAAATGAACGAATACTAATTCAAACGATATCCATTAATCCCTGGTACAATGTACCTGCTCCTATTGGTTTGAAACTGTTGTTTGGACTGTGTTCAATCTTTAAAGAGGGATGTTTCCTATTGGTCCCAAGATCAGAGCTTAATTTCTGCTAACGACGGCATTCTGTGCTTATGATACCAGTCTGTGCTAACAGTGTAAGCAGAAAAAACGTGCACCCCGGCAGTTATTGATGACTCGGCACCATTTAATTCACAGCATAAGCTCAACTGAGAATGCTCTTGTCAAAGCAGTTGTGTTACATTGCGCATTTACATGTATTAAGAATGTGTTGTGCGTGTTATTGTCATGAGTATTTTAGGTATCAGAGGTGAGTAGTTTCATATTGAAATTTGCAATAATGTGTACAGTATGTTCCAAACCCTCCAATTCATTTTAGAGGATATTGTGTATTTGGATTCATTCTCACACATGTTTTATTATATTTTTAATGGTGTGATTTTTCATGATTCACCACTGCTTGCTGTGACCTGAATTCCATTCTTCCTAACCCTCATGACCTTCACACGCAACTGCCAATGCTTGATGATATCTACACATGTCCACTGTCCAGTCCATATATTAGGTATGTACCTTTAATTACAACAAGTTAGGCAATATAAAGTATCACATTATGAATATCATTTAATCTTTTGTTTTCAGAAATGGATGGCATCTGGTCCATTGTCATAATTCCATTTCGTGTCAACATATTATGTGGCCCTACCCATTTAGGTGTTCACCAACTTTGAATTACTAAATACCCCACCTGAGGTACAAGTAGAGATCAGTGATTAAGATCGAGGTACTAAGGTTTACTTTCGATCTGGATGAAATTTCCCGTTTATCAGTGTATGCTCCGTCAAGATACAGCGCTGACACCTTTTAATGCTATGCTAATGCAATGCTGTGATTGACTGGATGGCTATGCTTAGCATTAGACAGGTCAGTCACAGGCGCCTGAATTGGGCACCGTTGAAGTGCCAAATCCAGGCGCCACATCGAGGCCTCCAGTGATTGGCCTGTCTATAACTAATGCTAGGCATAGCCATCCACAAGTCAATCGCAGTGCTGCAGCTAGCCGATTCTAAACGGCCTCCGCGCGGTTTTCACAACAGAGCATTCATCGATAAATGGGAAATTCCACTTTACATCCGGATCATAAGTAAACCTTAGTACTTCGATCTTAAACCATTGCTATAACATCACACTATTGTTAAAAGTGTGGATCCGGATCTACGAATCTCTTACACTGGTCACAAAGTGTGGATTCGAAACGACAAAACTTTAGTAAAGTGTGGATTCGGAATTACGAATCCACACTTTGAACACGTTGGACAATTGTTCTCCATAGTTAGCCTGAATAGAACCATCTGCATAAAAAATTGCTTTCCGAAAATTAACAATGCATTTTCACTGTCAGATTCTCTACTTTTAGTCAGAGTTACGAATCCACACTTTCTCCTGTATTCTCCTTAACTTAATCATCCATCTCTACTTGTGCCCCAGGTGGCGTATTTAGTAATTTTGTGGCCGTTTTCAGGGTGAAATCTGATGTGTTTGTTGGGCAATTTTGATCTTTTGGTCAAATGCAGAATTGTGTCATGTGATGGCAACACCATGACTCGGACCCTACTATCCCCAGACCATGTCTGAATGTTAAAAAAGGCGATAAGGCCAAACAAAAAAAATGGTGTGTTTATGGTAACGGTCTGAAAAAAATCCAGGTAGGTAGGTAGGGAAATAATTTTATTTTGTAATTTTTTTTAATTTCAGTTCTGCAGGCTCATGCGTGTTCTTTCGCAAAATATTTGTATAAAAACATTATTCAAGCATTCAAGATACTCAATCGATACATTTCAAACCTGTGGGGGAAGTTTTGCTGTGATTCAACAACCTGCGAAGCCATGGCGTGGGGTTCGGGGCCCGCTTTTTAAGGGCCCGAAAATTTTTGAGAGAAGATCTTGTAGGCCCCTATTTTTGTAATTAAAGAAAAAAATCAAAATTACATTGACAAGTAAGTTTCAAATTAAGAAATTAAGGTGAAGAAAAAAATCCTTTTGCTTCCGATTATATGCCTTTCAAAATAGGGTCAATAGGTCGGAAAAAAATTATTTCGCCAATTTTTTTGGGGTGCTGATTAATGGAGCATCATACTTTCATAGAGCAAGGAATCATGTTTATTTTGTGCCTGGATTATTTTCATTTGCGCCACGAAAATTATCAAGACTGGCCATCATCAGTCGTGGTACGACATTTGTATAGGCAGTAGTCACTGGTTCCGGTCCTTCATTATAGTATTGATTCCGTTAGCACGCGAAGGGAACCAGTGCTGTATGCGCTGCATGCCTGTCAACTGGCGGTCGACAGAACCCGTCATCATGTGCATTTTGATCACACATGCATAAAAAAACCAGGATTTTTGTCAAGATTTTGCATGTCAAGATGAAATAATGGCGTATGTAATGATTATATTGTGTATTTTAATGGCGTGAATAATAATTATATTGTGTGTATCGGGGGCTGAAAGATGTGATCGGCATTTTTGTCGGGCTGATTCACAGTACGCACGTTTGTACGTGGGGAGAACCCTGCCGTCCGTCGGCCAGGCGCACCAGTTCACCCCGATCGTAGGCCTACTTCATGTAGTTTTAGAATTCAAGTTTTGAGATCGTCGCGATTTTTGCACGTTTAACACAGGTATGTTTGTGTCAAATCATGGTCAGTTTAAAGTGTGGAAAATGGTCTATGTTCGTGGCAAATAATTAAAAGTACTTGACATTTTTGAAATTTGTTCATTAAAAATGATCAATATCAACCTTCAAAATGGCAATAAAAAGTTTGAGGTCGGCAATTTGGCCGAAAAAATTCCAAGTCGGTCGGGTTACCGTAAACACACCAATTTTTTTTTTTTGGCCTAAGTAGGGTCCAAGTTACTCCGACTAAAGCTGTACCAGTATTAATGGTCACCCCATCTGTCAAACCATGCACTCCAACATGCTTTGACAGTTATACGGTGTAATAGGATTTCTGGTAGTTGATGACCAGCCTGTACACAAGCTATTGAGAGAGGTAGGGGTTAGGTATTTTGGCAGTTTGTGACAGGTGACCCACTTCTTGTTCTTTTTGTGTGTGCGTGTGCGAGTTCATGGTGTAAATCGAGAACACACACGTGCTGTTGCAAACAAGTTTGAGTATAAACAAAGGAAAATGGAAGAGGAACAATAGAACATCCTCAATTTACACCAAAAACAAACGTGGGTGCTCTTTTAAGAGTTTGTGTGTTCAGGAATAATATACACCCCGAGCATAGCTGCCAACTACTACGAATTTAGCAATTATCACAAATTTTTTGTTAAATTACGAAAATACGAATTGCCACTAAAAAATTAGGAATTTCCCATTTTCTGCCTAATGAAAAAAAATACTTGTTAAGTATCGTTTTTGTGAATATTCAGATAAAGTCACGGGGGAAGTGTTTAATTGTAGGAGCAAGACAAACTGTAACATTAGTTGCTGTAACGTGAGTTTCCATGGAATTGCCCATACACGGATATATACATGTACATGTAATAATTGACACTCCCATTTTGAAATACTTTATAACAAAAAATTATAGCCAGCGTTACACTTGATATATGACTGTATCTTTAACCTGCATTTATACCAAGTTGGTACAGTCGCTAATGAAATTTGGTTAGGTTACTATTACTGAGGACTGAAGTTTGTTTAGAAACGTAAGTACATGTGATAGTGACAGTAACATGCAGTGTACTTGTTTGATATTAACTCTTTGTTTTCTGAATAACATTTAATTGCCTTTATTTGAATTAATTAAAACAATTGAAATATGACATCAACTCTCTGTGAGAAAAAAAACCATCCAAATATGTTTGGTTGATTGAACATTTTAGTGTGTCAGTGACATAGATTTGTGAATATTGGGTTAAATTGTGATGCATGTAAAATCTTTTCTTGATATTAATTTACAGGTGAAGAAGAGAATAGCAACGATGTTCCTTTTGCACAAAACCAACCTGCAGCAACTTCAAACTATGGCACAACGGGTAAGAACAAAGACTTTCTTCAAATGCTAACATGAAGACTACAATTTTGCAGGGAAATTCTACCATAAGAAATTTGAAATGTCATTTTTCAAAGATAATTTCCAAGGTATTCAGTTTGATATAAAATTGGAAGTTTGTTAAATTAAGAGATATCCGCCATTTAGGCCTATAGAAATATAATGCTTGTCATATTGACATTTTGTGATGTGGGCAAGGCAAAGCCTCGTGTACAGATGTTAAAAGATCAAACCACGCAATGTTAATTGCTCTTGGTATATTGGTGGTAAGTTTTTTGAGAACTTATTGTGTACATTGGTCAACACACATTTATAGTCTATTAAAAAATGACTAAATTTGCACACAATCTATAAACAAGTCAAGAAATAGCAAACATTTTCTACATGGATTCTACCACTTCATTTCAATATGGAATATGAGAGCACTGGAGTCAAATGTGTGTCCTTGGTTACCTTTATGTAGGAAAAGATTCTGGTAATTCAGCAGTGAGGAGTCGTCCTTTGAACAAATTATCAACAAATGAGGCTGATCCAGATGAAGATGACATTGATATGTTGGAAGATATGAATGAGGAAAAGGAAATCTATAGGACCAAGGTAGTACAAGATAATTCAATAACATTTGTGTATGTTTGTGATGTACATGTATTTGATGACTTTTACCAACATTGACTCAAAAGTGAGGCAATTATTGCCTCCATGCCTGTATGTCCTGCTAAGGAAAGGTTATAGGTGAGCAACAGTGGCTTGTCTTTTTGCAAAACAGTTTGGATGTGTAGACATCTAATGTACTCTGGCTTGATGTGATTTTATTGTAGATGTCTGTTTGTGTTGCTGATCTTGCTCGGAAGAAACCCAAAACCCTGGACCGCAAGTACAAGCTTTACTATTGGAACATTCTAACTATTGCCGTGTTTTACTCTTTGCCAGCCGTCCAGCTTGTGATGACATATCAAGCAGTGAGTAGAAGTGACAACAGTCAAATGCTGTCAATTGTCATGTGGAATACAAGGCCTTGTGTGGCTGCCCATTTAACATTTTAAGTCATTTTAAGTACAGACATCTGTGCTGACATACATACATACATGTACATTGCTCTTGCGTGTTATTTACACGTGAATATTTAAAAATGCATAGTATTTACATATCTGCCACTATATTAAACAATTACACAACTATGCTACTTTAACAATGCTTTCCCTATGCTCCTCAAAATATAATTTGTTTGGTTAATAACGTTTGAACTTGTATGTGTTATTCCAACAAGGTTTGTTTTGGACACAAATGGATCTGCCTTGGGAGCAGACTGGCTCCCAGTCCTTACATTATTGATGCTGAATTTGGGCTGGAGCCAGTCTGTCCCATGGGGACATAATTGTTGTTCAGACATTGACTCATTTATGAACCTTTACTGTATAATACTAATAGGTACTGAACATGTCAGGAAATGAAGACATGTGCTACTATAACTTCCTGTGTGCCATGCCATGTGGACTGCTCAGGTAAGTCTAGCTTCTTGCTTACTATTTGGCCAACATGCTTTTATTTTGAATTGAGAATTTCTGGTTAGAAAATATGTAAACATTAGCCAAAAAGAAAAAGCGCAGTAATTCATAATTGTAGCGTCCAACTTATTATATTTTAAAGATGTACTGTTGATGTTCTTCAGCAAGTTAGATTTCAATTGTTTACCTTTGAGAATAATAACAAAAACCTTTGTCTTATTCTGGGTGTGCAACCCTCTGAAAAGGGCTTTATATTGGGTTGCTTTTGTTCACAAACATAAATGCTATGTGAGTGGACTCGATCCTGGTCCCCACAGCATTGATATCTGCCATACTGAAATTGCAATATAGAAAATAAAAACTGTGAACCTGTCTGCCTATCTTGTTGAATCATATAAGAAACTAATAAAACAAACAAACTCTTGTGGCAAAAAATATGAACTTTTCTCTCTGCCTTAGCAACAAAGACCCCAAAATGGTACACAAATGACTACCTAATAGCCCTAATTTTAGCCCCAAAGAACTCTTTTGAATAAAAAAGACTCATCTCACTTGCACACCACTCAAATAATAGGTATGTTGTCCCCTTTAATTAAATACCTTGATATGAGGTTGTGATGCTTGTAGTGCTGAAAAATTCTTAAATTTTCCACTTTTTAGCCATGTTCACTTTTGCATGGAATTGCCCTACAATACATGTAGACACACTTTTCAATGATTGGCAATTGTCAATACATTTTGTAGAATGTATTGTGTTTGATGTTTCATATGTATGGCAGTGCTAAGACCAATGTTTCATGCCTGTCCACCTTACCATGCACACATACTTGGACAGGTGACTGCACTTGTAAGGGTTGGCTATTATGGCGTAAAGACCTCAAAGAAACCTTTATACGATGTAGTTGGTGTAGTTTTTTAATGAGGCATACATATTTTGAATCTGTTGTTTTTGTAATCTTCAGTTTCTGGGTATCATCATCAGTCCCATAATGTACTCTGTGAATGAATAGTTGTGAATTGTCCTTGAGCAGGAGACATTACTTGCATGCTCTGGTCCGTGCATGTATGGCATGAGGTGTGCACGACTTGGTTTATCCTGAATGTGCACTAGTCCATCGCATCTTTGCATGACCACTACACGTATAGCAATGCATGCAAGAGACCAGCAGCTGATTTCACGAAACCTTACGCAATGACGCAACTCCACTTGCGGCACAATTTATTACATAAGCTGTGCAACATTTTACGCTTTGCAACATTTCACGTACGACACATTTCACAAAAGTGCGTATAAGTCTGAGACTTGCGCAATAAATAATGGCGTAACTTGAGCAATCATTTTAGTTGTGGCGTAGCGACTGAAAATTACATATTTTATCAGCAAATCGGCACTGTCGTGGAGCCCGTTATTGCACAAGTTATCAAGGTTGATACAAACACTCACAACATTATGTTGGAAGTAAATGAATTTCTATTTTACTCCCTTAACATAATTTTTTGAGCTGCCGAACAATTCCGAAGAAAGTCGGACAAAATAATTTTCAAAATGGTGTGCTGAGGTGATCCAACGACTGTTTCGCGAACAAACAAATTCACACACAAACAGTTGTCGTAAGTGCTGTCTTTATCCTCGTCCAAGATGTTTAAATTATTCAAAACGTTTTGTGAAACCGGTCATAAGTTTATTGCACAGCTGAGCAACAAATTTGTTGCGTAGTCTGACGCATGGTGCAAGCTTGTCACTATTGAAGGGACACCAATAATGTAAAATGTTCACAGAATGGTAATAGTTCTCTTCATTTTTGTGGTTTCCATACAGTGCTTTCAACAATGTGTTCAGTAACATTGGCTATGTCATGTTGGGCTTCCTGTACTTGTTGATTGTGTCGAGAAAACACCATATTCACAAACAAGCTGTGGCGTCAGGCTGTGAGAAGTCCAAGGTATGTGACAAGCCTTGAAGTTGAATTATCATCAATAATGCTTATTGGAAACCAGTAAACAGATGGATTGCTGGCAGATACTTGCAACATTTTCTAGTTACATGCAGCTTAAATACTTTCAAAAATTTCACTAATTTTGAAGTGTAAATATATTCAAAATAATCTGTACTGATTCCCCCCCCCCCCCCCCCCGGGGGAACTTTAGCCAGAAAACATTACAACTACTTCGACCACCCTTCTGAAGACAAGACAAAACCAAAGCATTTGCCAAAAGCCTATTTTGATGACCTCAAGGTACAGCGCTACAATCAGACGCCAGTTTCATTATGTTGTTGCATGCCCCAGATACTGCATGTACTGTGCTGCACACTATGCATAGTGTGCACAGTCATGTCTGACAGCTTGTCAGATGTTGAAGATGAACAGAGATGAAATTTTCCGATAGTAATTGGAATTCTGACTTTTTCAAATTTCCTTCCAAACGCCGATTTTTCTAAGGATTTTCTCACCTCAAAATCGGATTGTTGTAAAATTTCAACGACTTTTTGGAAAATTGCACATCTGTTTAACCAGTTGTCAGTACACAGCTTTTTTTATGGTAGGCTGCACATGGAGATTGACTGTGGTAAAATCAACATATTGCTTTATTTTCAGAGGTTTCAGAATTACTTGTACAAGTAATGCAATGTTGATAATCTTGGGGATGACGCAGAGGACATAAAACTAGATAAATTTCGTTGCTGGTGGTTGGAAAAGCCGATTTGTCTTGGCATATTATTGGAGTAGCTTGGCGTACTTGAACTTTCTCAAGTAAGAAGTAGCCTGATGTGCCAAACTTATTTGTTGACGAGCTTTAAAAATTCATTAAACTAAGTCAGTTAAATAGTGGTACTTTTGTCTTTATTAAAATCTGTTATGGAAATTGTAGCATTTTCACATTTATTTTGGATGTGAAAAAAAGGTGGCGTCCAAAAATTGGACGCCACAGATTTCAGACACAGATTTGAGATCAGAGAAATGGTGATGAAATTTTGCATAAAATTCCTTTGTATTTCCAGAGGACTTCCTGCATTTACAGTGAATGAAGGAAATGAAAATAAATGATAAAGAAATGAAGGAAATGATAATAATTTAAAATTATTTCTGCGACATTAGGAGTGACGGTGGCACCGTACTGTACTCTCCTTAGGCTAGGTATAGGCCTACCCAGAGCAGCATTCCTAGGCTAGGCATACACAGTGCCTAGGCTAGGCATACACAGTGCTCTGGAAAGCCCCGTCAGAGTAGTCACCGACAGAACGTGATGGGTCCAGACCGAGACAATTAATTAGGGGTCAAGAAACTTAAATTTGATTGCCAGAGCTGTAACATAAAAGCAAACTGGCTATTTCTGTTTGCTGCCCTCATTGACGCACATTTCCATTCTGAGTATCCTGGCCGTAGAATTACATCAGAAAATGCCACTTTTTCATTAATACTAGGGAAAGATGCCTTTTTGTCCGTAATGGGAGTAATAAGGGACAATCCCTGACATTTTTAAGGTAAGGCAAAGTTACTAAGAGTAACAGGGAGTGCTATTGAGGCCTGAACAAGGACTAATGTGGTTAACATATTTTTAAATTTATTTCCTAAATACTAATAGAATACTGGGATTGGAAAAAAATAACCCATTGTTTTGAATTGAATTGGTTATATAAAAATCATCATTGTAATCTGCTAAAACTGCAATAGAAAGATTGATATCAAAACACAACGTAGAAAAATACAAACTTGTGTGCAACAGCTGTTAATAAAATTAAAAGAATATAATTAAAAATAATGTACGGAATTCGTCAGGATTTTTCTGATTTCAATATTTCTAAAGTTCTCTTTTGCAGTATGGAATTCTTGAGTTATTACCGTTAACTTGTCTCACCTTCAAAAGATACATGTAGAACTCAAGACATGGGTATTTGTAGGGCTGCATTAAGGCAAATACAACATACACCCTGGACCCTGCATTGGTCTAGGGCCCTCGGCGACCTTCAAACCCTCTGCAGTTTATTTCATGGATTTTTCGTTTCTCCTCAATCTTACCCGCAGTATACAAAGACAAAAATGAAGGACAATATAAAAAGTGGTAGGATATCAACTATATATGAACTATTGAATGTTAAACCAATTATGTGTATTAAATGAGAGGTGTATAAAACATTAGTACTCCCATTATTACGGGAAGGAGTACCAGGATAAAAAGGAGCTTGCGTGTAATTGTTTGCATTCAACACGAATAATTTTCATGTTCAATGTATTTGAACACGAATAATTTCAAACTCTTTTAAATATCAAACCAGTACTCACCAGGGATAAAGTAAAGATTCCAAGCTTTAAAATGGTGTAAAAATAATGCTGGAAAGTGTTTCCTGTGCCGACGCTAGAGCCTCGGCCAAAAAATTGCGGGTATTTTGGGACGGGTTGTAGTACTAAAAATCTCCTTGGGCCCTCCCAAAAAAGTCTCCGGTTTCTGGTATGGAGCTTGCCCAAAAAGTGGTGCGGCGACGCAGCTTTTTTTTTTACCTTTTTTTTTTGGTTCAAATGTCAGAGTTGTAACTGATTTTTGTGACTCGAGTCGAGTCGAGTCATTTTAAAGAAGTGACTCGAGTCGAGTCGAGTCATTAGGTCAACAAGGTCGAGTCGAGTCGAGTCGAGTCGAGTCACAGTGTGTGGTCGAGTCAAGTCGAGTCGAGTCAAGTATTTAGCTCAAGTCAATTCGAGTCACAAATATTTGAACACTATATAATAAATTACAATAAAAAGCAACAAACACAAGAGAGCAAGAATACATGGCACCAGTCTATTACGAAAATCCAAAGACATAAAGTATGCTGTATGGTACCCAACCAACTGTTTCCATTGCTAGCTCACGTCACAGATAAAAAGATGTGAAACTTCGGTCTTATAACTGTTTTGGCTTCGGGTTTAGATTTTGTTGTTCGCTGATCGCTGACAACGTCAAAACCTAATTACATTATACAAAACTGTTTCTGATTATTTAAAGGTAGTCCCATCCGTATCCATTCTTTGTGTGTGTGAAATCGGGACATAAATTTAGCCAGCGTTCCACCAAGAGCTTTATAAGAAATCGCCCGAAACCAATGATGAAACCACGGATTGAGAAATGCGCTTAAGTCTGGTTCCGGGTTTAGCATTACATGCTATAGAACCACAAGGTGGGAGTCCGCGACACGGTGTATGTTTGTTGTATCATTATGGAGGAAGGAAAACAGACGGCCACTGTATATGAACGTACATAATTCGCAAACATAACGTGACGTGAACAAAAACTGGCAACGCGAACGGCGCGGCGTAAGTCATTGCAAATATTTTTCGCAAGTAAGTTTTGCTTTTATTTTTGGGACTCGAGTCTTATTAGCCTTCCTCGAGTCGAGTCGAGTCATTCTGATGAGGGACTCGAGTCGAGTCGAGTCATATGCTCGCAGTGACTCGAGTTGAGTCGAGTCATTTACCTGTCGGGACTCGAGTCGAGTCGAGTCACCAAAAAATGTGACTCGAGTCGAGTCTTTGACTTGAGTCATTACAACTCTGTCAAATGTCGGCTGATGACTGTAAATGGTGCCCGACTAAACTTAGTGCAAATATATGGGAGTCCCAGAGAGGCCACATAAAGCTTATTCTCGATCATAACCCCATCTAAAAACCTGTTAAAATTGTGCAGCAGCAGGATTCCAGTCAAACCAGTGAGTTTGGCCGTTTTGAGACATCATCTTTTATTGAAAAAAAAAACTTTTTCATTTTGCCGACGCGCATGGCTACAGCGACGCGCCACATACCAGAAACTGGAGATTTTTTTTGGCCTTATATGGAGATTGGCGCACGCGTGGCGCGTACTGTGCGATGTGGTGCAGATTGCTGCGGTGCCAGTGTAATGTGAATTTAGGACTCTATGCATACAGACTCTTTGGTAGTATGCGCATGCCTAAGTGAAAATGTGAGCGTTAAATCACTAAAACAGTGAAAGGACCAGATTTCATAGGCGTCCAAATTTTCCAAATGTTTTGTTCCACAAATGCAGAGATGAAACTTTTCCGATTTTAATCGGAAATCCGACTTTTTGAATTTTCCAATTGTGCGTCCCACAAAATTTGATTTTCAAATGATTCTTTCACAAAATGTCATTTTATTTCAATCATAATTTTGAAGAAAAGTTGATGGAAATGGCACGTTAAAATCATCGCGAACGTAGTTTTAATCTTTTTCACCAGTCGTTATTGAAGTGTTTCAACGGTAGAAACACAGGGCATAACACTGATCGGAGCCTTCTCCGGCTGGACAAAAGGTTACACATTGACAGGCGACATGGAAAAATCACTGTGTCGCACGTGCATGCGAATATGCAATGGTACCAGCGTACGTACCGCGCTGTACCGTCCTCTAGCACATTGCCGGTCGGGAACAGGTAGCCTTGTTAACGATCCAGTGGATAAAATCATTATGTTGTGCGATTTTCGGGGGTTCAGATTTAGTTGTACAAAATGCAATGCTTTAAAAATCATGATGATTATCTCGAGGATAGCGAAGAGAGCATTAGCGAAACATTTCACTGGCATTTGTTGGAAGAGAAAGACGATAATGCCTGATTTTTCCCCACGTATGGATGAATGCAAGTGGAGTAGTGAAGTTGTGTGGTTGAATCATGGACATGATTGAAGCACCGTGAACGGTGCCCTTGTCTTTCGGACTTTTCCCTCGACTTTCTCAAGTAAGAAGTGAACTTCTATATTGATGACTCCATTACTCTAACCGTAATTCAGGGATTTTATGCAATGAAAACACTGACCATTTTTTTTCGTCGTAAAATTTTGTTTGAATCGAAAATAAAGCAGGAGTTGGTGTCCGGAAATTGGGCATGAAGTGTATTGTACATGCATGTACATATGTGTAATGGCAGCGCGGCCCAGATTTCGGACACGTACTTTTGTTCAGCCTATTTTCCGATTTTTTGGCCATATGCCAGTTTCATCTCTGCACAAATGGCAGGGGGGCCTAGGATGCAGTCTAGTATGTTGCTCTCCATTTATGAGGCTAAATTGGACAAAGCTATGTAGGAGCGAGCATCAGCAAAACAAAGTCCGCGCTTTGACATACTCTGATAATGAACTAGACTAGCCCTGGTACATGTACCTCAAGCTTAACAAATGTTTACTTATCTTTTTATCTGCAGACTTGTGGCATACCTAAGCACTTTGGTATGTTTTATGCGTTGGGTATAGCTCTAGTCATGGAGGGTGTACTGAGTGGCAGTTACCATGTGTGTCCTAACTACTCTAACTTTCAATTTGGTAAGTACATGTGTGTGTGCATTTTGGAGAATATACTGTAATGGACAATTTATGCAGCACTTTTCTTGTCATTGCTTTCTTGCGCTGGTGCTCCGGCGGAGGGGCTCTGGCGGCGCGCACCTGACCTGGTTTTGAGTCTGGCTAGCGCGCGCTCCAGAAATAGGTTCTATAAATAGGTTGCTTCAGTGGGTTACTTTTGTTGGGGGATGCTGGAAAGGTTTGGCAAGATGCCAGGGTCATTTCAAGTTGCTACAATTGGATACATTTGTTCAGACTGTGTGTATTTCTATGCTAGGAATGAGCAGTCTCGGTACTGGTAGTAGTGTGGCAGGTTGACCACAGAGTTCGTGCAGCTGAATAAATAAGAGTTTCTTCAGATGTTGGAAATCCTGTGTGGTTGTCCCCTTTTCTTGCATTTAGCCGGATTCGGAGGACAAGAGCCCAATAAGTTCCCGTTACAATACCGTACTCGTGATGGCACAAAAATAGCTGTTACCCACATGATGGTTTTTGAATTTCAAAGAAGTTGTAAAGTGAAGGGTTAATTATCAAAAGAACCATTGTGCAAGTAATATAAAGTTAAGTCCCTTTCTCAAGTCAATTTTTGTTTATAAATGTACATGTATGGCCTCCTGCCTTTCCCCCATTTTCTGTTGTGGAAGGGAAGGTTTGTGCAGTATCAAAGACTTATAAAAGCATATGTCAAATTAAATAAAGACACTTCTGTGAACCCTGAAAAATAAATAGGCACCCAGGTGCCAGATTCTACTTTCTACCCTGCTGCTGAAACAAAATTGTGTCATGACTTATAAAACATACTAATTCATAATGTTTAGGTATGTGAATGTATGAACTGGAAAACTAATTGTCATAACCTTGCTAAGCGAGCATCCCACAAGCTTGGATTCCTGTTTCAGGCTTGTCAATATTTTTGACCTCTGCATATTTTCACTCTTTATAAGTGTCAAATTCTTCCCCAAATGAAATACTGTTGTCACATCTGGGGTGGTGCCCCCAAATCCACCATCTGTGTCTTGGACAAATTTAGCCAAAGGCCATTTGTCCATGACAGCCTAACCAACTCATTCAGCCTCTGGCCCACCGACGCCATGCTGCTTCCCCCTCAGTCTTTTACCATTACCATTTTGGAGACTGTTCACAGTAACTGAAATCAATCATGCCTGAATCTCACACATACAGGTGGGGTACATGGTACATTCTACAAGATCTGCCACTAATGCTCACCCTTTCATGGTTTCAATACCTAGGTCTCACACTGTATCCCACACATCTGTCATTGTCCCCACATCCAAATTGTGGAACTCTCTGCCACAGTCGTGCTTCCCATCATCCTACAACCCACAGTCTTTCACGAGCTTTATCAACAAGCTTGATTGCATATCACTCTCTCAACCTCAATTCCTTGTCAAGAGTCCTTTCATAAAGGACTGTGCTTCCTGCCTTTTCTAGGCATTGTCTACTATTGAAGAAAGGTAACCATATTTGAAGTATTGGTGGCTTGATGACAAATTGGAATTTTGAAATGTTGATATCTGTTATTGACATTGCTTATACAGTTACTTTTAAACCATTCCTATGATTTTAAATTTATTGCAGAAAAGCATCCAGTTACAGATGAATCATAATTCTAAGCACAAAACAGGAATCAATTCTGACTTTGTGTGTGTTATAACAAGACAAATATTTTGGCAATGTTTCTCTTTGGTATTTTGATTTTTACAGTAATTGAACTTGTTCATTGGTTTTCAGATACAGCCTTCATGTACATCATTGCCGGCCTTGGCATGTTGGTGTTGTATCAACAGAGGCATCCTGATGTCAATGCCAATGCTTATGCAGCATTTGCCACCTTTGCTGCTGTCATCTTCATTGCTTTTATGGGAGTGGTAAGAGGCATACAAATTGGTTACCCATTCTGACACAGCAGCTGAAACAGTTGTTTGTTAAAAGTATTTATTTCTGTCATTCCTTATTGAATGGAAGGGAAAGTACATAAATGTACATGTCAACTGACTCCGTCTTGTCAACTTTGAGTGTCATACTGATGGCCGAAAAGCACTATAACGAACGCCACTATGACTATTATTCTTTTGTGGACCCCATCATGTTCCCTATAGCGACATTCAACCGTAGTATGAAACAACCTATACCTAACAATGATTGAGTTTGTGTGCTGAATGTCATATTTCTTATCATGTGTCTATAAACAACTAAAACTAACAGGTTTTCATGATAAAGTACAAAGAATGATATATTTGAGAGCTTTTTGACATGGAAGATTCATCCTCTCAAATTCTGAAAGCCATAGGTCAACAGCATGTGTTTACAGAGCAATAGAGTGATGTATTCAGTCAAAAACATATGACGTCATTGTATCGGTATTGTTAGTCACACACACTATGGGCTCCGTGCGCAAGTACCCCTTCAATGGCCAGAAAAGGACAGTTGGGGGAGACCTAGACTGGTGCCCTGTCCATCCATTGCGAATTTCGTTATGTGGGGCAGTTTTTAGTCTGGGAGACCATCAAAAAGAGAAATTTGAACGCATTCTTGCACCGACGAAGCCTGATGCTCAGGCGAAGACGCGCTGTGGCTTAGCAGGAAGTTGTACGTATTTACAATGCACACACTTAGCACTCAAAAGTGGTTAAAAAGTGCCCTCTTTTGTAAGCGCATGGAACCCATGGGCATGCTGCACCAATAGACTGCTCTTCTGCCAAAAGATGTCACTTGGTGACATAAATTTACACACCTAGTACCTTCTCTTTTCCACAAATTTGATAAAATTACAGAAACAAGTGCTTATAATCAATTTTTTTTTTTGGGGGGGGGGAGAGTTGATATTGTTTGAAACCTTATTGAACACCAGATCTGCCAAAAAAAATCAATCTGTCCTGAGATTTGCTCTAAGGTCTTAGAGCTCCTGTCTTTAGAGCTGCTGTCTTTAGAGCTGTTGTCCTTAGAGCTGTTGTCCTTAGAGCTGTTGTCATTAAAGCTGTTGTCCTTAGAGCTGTTGTCCTTGGAGCTGTTGTCCTTAGAGCTGTTGTCCTTAGAGCTGCTGTCTTAAGAGCTGTTGTCCTTAAAGCTGCTGTCCTTAGAGCTGTTGTCCTTAGAGCTGCTGCCCTTACAGCTGCTGTCCTTAGAGCTGTTGTCCTTAGAGCTGCTGTACTTAGAGCTGCTGTCCTTAGAGCTGCTGTCTTTAGAGCCACTGTCCTGAGAACTGTTGTCCTTAGAGCTGTTGTCCTTAGAGCTGTTGTCCTTAGAGCTGTTGTCATTAAAGCTGTTGTCCTTAGAGCTGTTGTCCTTGGAGCTGTTGTCCTTAGAGCTGTTGTCCTTAGAGCTGCTGTCTTTAGAGCTGTTGTCCTTAAAGCTGCTGTCCTTAGAGCTGCTGCCCTTACAGCTGCTGTCCTTTGAGCTGTTGTCCTTAGAGCTGCTGTCTTTAGAGCTGCTGTCCTTAGAGCTGCTGTCCTTAGAGCTGCTGTCTTTAGAGCTGCTGTCCTTAGAGCTGCTGTCCTTAGAGCTGCTGTCCTTAGAGCTGCTGTCCTTAGAGCTGCTGTCCTTAGAGCTGCTGTCTTTAGAGCTGCTGTCCTTAGAGCTGCTGTCCTTAGAGCTGCTGTCCTTAGAGCTGCTGTCCTTAGAGCTGCTGTCCTTAGAGCTGCTGTCCTTAGAGCTGCTGTCTTTAGAGCTACTGTCCTGAGAACTGTTGTCCTTAAAGCTGCTGTCCTTAGAGCTGTTGTTTGACATTTTTGGCTGTGGCATTAGCAGAAGTAATCATTACATTCTGCTATGTTATTTGATGAGTCCGCATTTAAGCACAAATGAGATCGTTCATGTGTTTTATACCTACTGGGCTTATCTGTGTTGGGACCATCTTTTCGTCTTATAGCATTTATGTAATGGTATATTACATGTTTCTCTGTAATTTTGTAGATATCTGCAGTGTGTTACATTTCAGTATGTTGTGTGCAAATGTTTTGTTAACATTGAATACTCCGTAATAATTCAGTGGAGGTACCTCTAACAACTTTCTATTTTGACAAAAGCTCACTTTCTAAACACTATGGCAATTAAATCTGGTGGGAAAGGAGTTTATCCAGTTTGTGTGACTGACTTTTAAACCTTTTTTCCCTGTGCATTGTCTAATAGGTGCAGTGGATGGGGCTAAGAGGCAAACACTTTGCCACAATATCTGCCTGAATTTGTCAAGGGTTTACAAAGTCATCTGCCAACACTATGCATGGGTTGTCACATTGAAATCCTTCAGAAAAATCATCTTTCTTTACATAAATCATCACATAATTTGATTGAATATGACATTACTGACACCATCTTCCTTTGAACAATTTTAAAGACTGTCAACATTTGCACGCACACAATCAGAACTTTATCTCACACACACCACACCATTCAGAGAGTTCATAAATAGTGTTCTCCAAGAGTAAAAAGTTAACTGTGTAGCACAATTGACAAAGTTGTGAATATGAATATTGAAGGTAAATTCACAGAGGGCACTCTTTTATGTCTGTCAGGAACACAGATGTCGCTCATTCAAGACTTGTGTTCATGCCACCGCATGATTCTTATGGGTTATATTGTGGTGCTTATTTTTCATGCTCTTGCTTATTTTTTATCGATCCACAAATAAAGTCTTGATTGTGTTCAGATTAAATGTAAAGTGGATTGTGTCAAAAAGAAATGCAAAGTAGTATAAATTCAGCTGGGCGTCAACATTTGAGCAAGGCAGCCTGCCTTCCTAAAACTCTTGCACAGCACTGCTATGGTATTTTAAAGATATTTTCTAATTCTAATAAAATCTTGTTTTTTAAATCTGTAATGCCAAAAGTATATTTTCGTTAAGGTAACTGAAGTGAAATTCAGGGGAAAACAAAAGTTACTTAATCTGTTCAACTTCTGGTAATTTATTCACATATTATACAATGAGTCCTGTTCCTCCTTTAACTTATTAGTTTATATGTAATGCTGCCATGCACAAAAAGCATATGCAAAGACTTAAGCCAGTACAAGAGTGAAATGAGTCATGCATCCTCTACGTTAATCCTGTGTACCAATTGACTATTCACAGAGCTCTGATACCGGTACATCAAGTATATGTACAAGCAGAACATGAAAGCCTCTCATGTTGTTGGCACTTTTGAGCTAGCGTATGCAATTGAGCATAGAATGTAATTTCCAGTGTTGGAGGTCTCGAGGCCGATTTTTATGGCCTCGGCCTTGGCCTCGGAGGTGCAAGGCCTCGGCCTCGGAGCCTTCTGGCCTCGGCGAATCGGTCGAGGCCAGCTCGAGGCCGCCCATTTTGATGTGTTTTCTATTCTAATTAATTTTAATTTTTTTACCGTATCAAACCCTCGAAATTCTGCCGCAGTGGGTTCCGTGAAACGAACGCAAACACAATGTATGCACGAATGAACTGGAAATGGTTGCATTGAACGTACTCACGTACGTAGCATCTTCGCCTAGCCTGCGCTTCAGCTTTCCATGTGCGTGCAAGCGTTATAATTGTTACCGCGTGCCAGACTACATAAGTCTGGCATTAATCCCATCTGCGTACAATAAACATGTGGTAGTAGACTAGTCTGGTTGCAGTGTTGTACAAAATTTTCTCGTTTCGCCTCTGTACCCCGACCTTTAAAAATGATTTGCGGCAAGGTGCGGCAAGCTTAATCATTTCTTTTTATAGGCCACTGTTTCAGTAAAAGTCTGAACTTTCTGGGTACGATCGAGTGTACTAGTCCGTACCATTTTTTTCTCATAAAGATATGATAAAAACAGTTACGATTTATCAAGTAGATTTTATTTTTACACGGTGATTTAAATGAAAGTTCCGGCTCACACGGTAATGTTTGGCGCAAATGGTCGATATGGAAAGCGCGATTTCAGAATTCGGTTTTTCATCCAAACGAATGCAAAGTTCTGAATGAATGTTTTAATAATAGGAGTCAGTATTCCTCGTGGTACCAGGATACTTTTTGTATTTTTAGAGCCATGTTGATACTTATTACATGTATAAGCACGGTTTGAAATTGACTAATTTTGCGTGGTTACAGATATACGGCCAAAACCTCTGGCCTCCCTATCTCTTGCCATGATCTTAAAATTCTTCGAAGCCATTGGATTAAAATCGGATGATCCGAGAATTCATGGTCATTTTGATGAACTGAGTGATATCATGCACGCATGTTCCGTGTTGCCGTGTTGTTTGGAGCGGGATTGGCCATTGCAAGACTTTGTCTGGTACCGCGGTATTAACAGTGATAATGCGTGGACACTTATCCCGTTGTGTGGAGCGGGATTGGAACTATGCTTTGCCCGTGGGTAACGGCGGGCCGTCTGGCATTTTCTGGTCACATCGCGGTGTTTGCTCGGCGCGCGCCTGGACAGTGCGAAGGTCGGGGGGGGGGGGGGGTCGTAACTTTTTGTTTATGAGTGGTAAATACCTGATTCAGAAATCAAGTTGTTGTTTATTTAATGGGGATTCCTATGATATTAAGCATTTTGATAGGTTTTGAAAATAAGATTTATAAAACATGCTAAAAGTAAATAATGTAAATCTTACAGAATAGAAACTCAAAATTTGGCCATTTAAATTGTTGTATCTCCAAAGGGCAAACACCTATGAGCCTGATTCAAACGCCATTGATTTTGTTGTGTAATTTGCTTTCAGTGATACAAAACTTGAGATTTCTTTCTTTATAAAATAAATTTCGCCGGACTCCCCGCAAGAGGAAACCCATTGCAAGCTGTAAATTTGTAAGCCAGGCACTCCAAAACTCAGTGAATTCAACTAAAAAGATGTTAAAACTCCAACATAATCTTAGCCTTGTTTTAGTGATTTATATTTTATTACGTGTTTTGATAGCTGGCCTCGGCCTTGGCCTCGAAGGTGGTGGCCTTGGCCTTGGCCTTGGCCTCGCGGTTGTGGCCTCGGCCTCGGCCTTGGCCTCGGAAGTTGTGGCCTCGCCTCGGCCTTGGCTTCGGCCTCGGCCTCGGAGGTTGTGGCCTCGACTACAACACTGGTAATTTCTACGTTACTTTAACACCCAAAGATACTATGTTCCATGGACAGGTTTGTGCAAAAAGTGTATCATTTCTCCTGCCAACATCACAAATCCTAAAGTGCCACCAATGGCCAAAGTCACACATGTCTTTAAAATAGAACTTGTTCAAAATATTGAACTGCTTGTTTCTTCTGCTGATTACTTATTCTATATGTAGGTGTCAAAAACATTGTATTCTTTTGAGCTTTCCATTCATTGTTGATGTTACTCTATAACCCTTTTTATCCCCCTGGCTGTAAGCCGGAGGGGAATATTGCAATCGCGTATTCCTTCTGTGTGTATGTATGTATGTATGTCGGTGTGAGTACGTAAACACCGGCAATCGTGGACGTAGGACAAAATGGTTAGGACACAAACAATACTACGAAAGCCCTGTAGTGCCATCAAGTATATATTTTGTCCAAGTTCGTTTTTACGAGATACATTTTCTCGAAGTTCGTTTTTATGAGATACATTTTTCCCAAAGTTCGTTTTTATGAGATACATTTTGTCAAAGTTTGTTTTTATGAGATACATTTTGTCAAAGTTCGTTTTTATGAGATACATTTTGCCGAAGTTCGTTTTTATGAGATACATTTTGTCGAAGTTCGTTTTTATGAGATATATTTTACGGAGTTTTATGAAGTTACGGAGCCCCTAAAGGGACATCCAAAATTATTTTTTTATCTCGTGCGCACGACATATATCTCGTGCGCACGACATAATATCTCGTGCGCACAAGATAATTATCACATGCGCACGACATATATCTCGTGCGCACGACATATATCTCGTGAGCATGAGATATATGTCGTGCGCACGAGATAATTATGTCGTGCGAACGAGATATATGTCGTGCGCACAAGATCTTATGTCCTGCGCACGAGATATTATGTCGTGCGCACGAGATAAGAAAATAATTTTGGATGTCCCTTTAGGGGCTCCGTAACTTCATAAAACTCCGTAACTCCGTAAAATATATATCGTAAAAACGAACTTCGACAAAATGTATCTCATAAAAACGAACTTCGAGAAAATATATCTCATAAAAACGAACTTCGAGAAAATATATCTCATAAAAACGAACTTCGACAAAATGTATCTCATAAAAACGAACATCGACAAAATGTATCTCATAAAAACGAACTTCGGCAAAATGTATCTCATAAAAACGAACTTCGAGAAAATATATCTCATAAAAACGAACTTCGACAAAATGTATCTCGTAAAAACGAACTTTGGAAAAAATGTATCTCATAAAAACGAACTTCGAAAAAATGTATCTCGTAAAAACGAACTCTGGGAAAAATGTATCTCATAAAAACGAACCTCGACAAAATGTATCTCATAAAAACGAACTTTGGGAAATTTTTTTCCATAAAAACGAACTTGGACAAAATATATACTTGATGGCACTACAGGGCTTTCGTACAATACAAAACAAATGAGAGCTGTTGCTTAAAAGGAATGAGGATTAGGGACAATATGGAGTCCACGATTGAAGGTGTTTACAAAGATGTGTGTGTTATGTTTTGGTTAGGTTAACTCTTTGTCAGCACGATAACTTGAGAAATACTTTACTTAGGAACTTGACATTTGGTTTGTGGGTTGTTCTTGGTAGTCTTAGGAAGCCTATTGCTTTTGGGGCTGACAGGTCAAAGGTCAAGGTCACTAATGCTAAAGCAATACAAATGTCAGCGCGATAACTTGAGAAATACTTTACTTAGGAACTTGAAATTTGGTTTGTGGGTTGCTGTTGGTAGTCTTGTCAAGCCTACTGCTTTTGGGGCTGACAGGTCAAAGGTCAAGGTCAGTATTGCTAAAACAATAGAAATCTTTCTTTTTGGTTAGGGACACTGACCAGTATCCGTACTAACTGACTGTATAAAAACTGCCAGCATGCCAGGGGATTGCGCAAGTTTCACTTACAGTATTTTTTAACACAGGCTTAGATTGTTACTTCTGCAGTCTTACGGTTGCGAAGGCTTTACATCGTGCGTTGATAAGCAAAGGTAATCTAATAACGTAACTGGACGCCATCGACAGAGCAGTGAAGTGATTGCACCCCCCAAAAAAAACCCCCACACTTTTTGAACGTTGTGTTTTTCAAAACATGTGCTCAGTATGATTGAAATGTTAAGTTGTAATAGCAAAAGAAATCTTAAACTTGATGCAGAAACATCAATGCTGGTCACTGGAAAAGCTGACCTAAAAGTCATGGAAAAATCGTTCGAAAATTAGGTGCCCAAATCTATTAACTTATCTCAATTTTTAGGAATCCTTAGAAGTTGTTATTTCAGGAGTACTTGAACTCTAATATCATCTAAGTATAATCCGAATTTTAGCTTAATATGTTGTTGCAAATGCTTGTGCTACACCTTGTACTATCACCAAGGTAAATTTTGACTCAGATTTTTTCTGAGCAAAACAACACGTGGTATCTACAACCAGTACATTGGATTTTGCTGCAATGGTGACGTGGCGCGTTATTAGCATATTCATTGGCGTGACTCGGCATGACTTAGTGTGGGTCTCAGTATCAACCAATGGAAGCCTGCCAAAAAGGTTGACATTTATTAATAAATAAATTGTGAAGGACAGAGTTATACAAATTTTTACTACACACCACATATGGATAGGAACCTTATTCATATTTGTGAGGCTAGACATTTTTTTTTTTCAATGTGAATGAAACATACTGAACATATTGAAACAGTTGGATCATTATAAGGGAAACAAACTTTCATGCCAAAAGTGGCATGAAAATACGGTCTTCAAAACGGAAGAAATTGATGTTTAAAGATTTTGCCCGCGAACATCAACATTTCCGTGTAACGGTAATTTGAGCTTATTTCATTCAAAATAAAGTATTACATTAGCCTTACAAATCGGCCGTAGCAACCGTATGGCTGTTCTGAGTGTATAAAAATGTGGCCAATCATTTACATTCTTCAGCCTTCATTTTTTTTTTTTAAAAGTGATTGTATTTGCATTAAATGGAAAATGAAATCATAACCATTCGTTGTACTATTGTTACTCTCTTTGTTGACAGTTAAGTTTTGACTCAATTCACAAATTAAGATTTGATGATAGTAGTCTGATTGCTCTATAAATGCTGGCAGATTTAAAACTTTGGAAAGAAGTATGTCCTGTGCAAATCAAATTCCCCACTTGCATCCATATCTCGTACATTCGCTGAGCGCATGACATGGTTGCTAATAGTTACAGGTAGAGCCCGAATATTGGCTGGTGGGACACTTCCAATCCGTTGCAATCGTCTGCTGGGAGTGCATTGTGCTAGGTGAGAGGAGCTACATGAAGGGTTGGTGTCAGTCACATCAGGTGGTGCAGATGAACCATGAGAAACACACGTCTGTTGTGTCAACATGATGACCTGGGAGTTATTGCCATGAAATAAATTGCCATAATATGGTTCATTTATATCGGCACATGAATGCATTGAAGGTGGACTTAAGAACGGATTTGTGTTGGGCTTGATGGGTCTAAATCCCTCAATACCATGGGTTAAGGGAAGCCGCACTTTAGCTGTGTCATATTCATCACTGCATGTGGGTGTAGACTCAGTGTTACTTGAAGGTTGCATGCCCCTTTCCCAGTTCACACTGCCTCTTGTTGTAGAACAATGTCTCAATCCACGCAGTGGAATAACTTTCTGCTTCAAACATTTACGTTGCACAAAAAGGGCAACTGTCATAATGATGAAGAGAAACAAGATCACACAGGCAATGATTGCAGCCATTACTGGTACTGATATACCCTTTTCACCCAGTGAGAGTTGTTTTGTTTGTATCTCCCGGCACTGATCTCGTAGCACCGCCTCTTTGTTGAGTGACACATTGTGAAACACAATGCTTATGCAGATCGTGTATTGCCTCCCAGGCTTCAGGTTCTGTTAAAAGAAAAGGTAACACTAGATATTAGCCCTAAGTAGGAGTCATAGACTTTGACCCAAGGTTAAGCTGTGTACTTTTTCGGTGCCAATCTCTAATCTACATGTAGATTGTCTACTTGTTCCCTGTCCAAGTGGTCTGATGTCCAGACAGTGAATACGTGTACATTCATGTACATTCTGCCATTATCCATATTTGGTGTTTCCTTGTATAGCTGTGACATCTTTTACAAAGTTGCAAATTCAAAAAGCTGCAAGTATTTCACATCTTTAGAATGAAAAATGCATCTTTAAAGGCATACAAAATAATTTGCATTAGTTCCAAAAATAACCTACTAAATTATATTCAAAAAGCTTACTTGGAAGTTATTCCGTCTGGCTTGCCGTCATTTAAAAAAAAATCAACAAAATGTAGATGATTTCCAACGATCAGTCAACGGACTGATTTTGGGACTTGAAGAGTTTATGGACAAAATCATGTACATGGTTTCTCACTGTTTCTTGAAAAGTGAAATACCTGGTGAGCTGACAGTTCAACAGGTTAGGTTGTTGACATTTTTCTTTGGATATAGCCTACTTAACATCGGGCTTATTTAACCATTTAGTTACTGTAGCGCCCGAAACAGTCCAAGCACTTTATGGTTTCATCGATTTTTCAGTAAACAAATACAGTCTAATACAATGCCATCCAGGTACCAATATGTTCAGTGGTTTGTGCGACAAACTGGTAGATAACCTACATGTTGGCATTGTGATATTTGACAGATATTGGCGGCTTCGGGTGGTACTAACCACCTTTGGTGATCCCAGGAAAGTTCTGTTTCCCTGGACTTTGCCTTGGGAAATAGAACACTCAAGAGATTACATGCTAGTTTAACATCATCACTAGTTTAAGCAGACTATAATATTGCTTTATTAACACCTCACCCACAGATATTGCTTATGTTAAAGGTATCTGATTTATTGAATCTCAATCCAATACACATGTAAATGTACTTCCATTTCAGTTTGAAATTACTTTCTCAAACTACCTTTGATGAAATATTTGCACCCAACTCTGCATGTTAGCATGTCAGAAAAAAAACCCAACCACCCCACAATGCACCAATATGTGGGGTGGTTGTTTGAGGCCAAACGCATGGTATTTGTACCCCAATTACATGTAGCAACGCACATACACTGAAAAAGGATAAGTGGAAAATCAAATCAAGGTTAATGTGAGACTGAATTGCCAGAATGTAATGGTCTTGTCCATAGTAAATTTAACATGCAAGCAGTGGCTCTACCATAAGCAAGGAAATGATAAACCACACAGCTGCAGTGTATTGGTCGTACTTGAAGGCAAGTAACATATATTCTTTGTAATGCAGAAAAGACATTTTCATCACAGTGGAGTTTGTGTTGGTGTAGTTTGTGATATAATATCGATAAGCAGAACAATCAACCCCCTGGAATGTTGTGATATTACCAAGATGCATGAAATAAGCTTACCCTCAATGTGAACTGAGTGACTGATGGATGGATCATCTGACTGAAGGTAACATCATTGTCTCCAAACTCATTATATTGTACAATAAATCCTTCCATTTCCTTGACCTTGGATGGCATCTCCCAGCTGATTTGCACTTCTTCAGGGCTGAGTTGAGTCATACTGATGTTCTTAGGTGGTGAGACAATAACCTCACAAAAGCTCCCGAAGTAGAAATATCTACACTTGCACTGAGGCTGATTGAATTGGTTGTAGACACATCGGCCTTTATTCTTGCATAGCTGTGGAGTACAGCTCCGTGGATAACTTGGAGTATTTGATACAGTCCTGGGTTTGTCAGTGGATGGGATTGATGGTACAGGAACAGGATCAGTTGATATTTGTTGTGATGTCTGTGGCATATACAGCAGCTTTGTAGTTTGTTTTTCGCTTGTAGGAAGCCTTGTCGTAGGAGTAGGCTTGTCAAGTGGTCTAGTAGGTAAACTGGGTAATCCTGGTACAGCATCTGGTTGAGCAGCAGGCGGCTGTGTTGGCAGTCGTGGTCTGGGACCTGCCCCAGCACCTGGCATATTATGGTGGCCGTATTGTTGACTAAAAGATTCATCGAGGAGGCAACTACATGCACACAGCAAATAAAGCAAAACAATACTCATAGTGCTCAAATGATTGTAATATTATATACATGTACGTCAAATTCACAGAATAATCCTGGGTAGTTGGTTCACGTGCATGTGACATGAAGGACTAAAGAAAATGACTACACCTCAACGTCTTACTGTATGTAGTTAGAATACAGTCATCTACCCGGGCTAGAAGGAAGTTACTTATTAGGGGCTATTCCATTTTAAATAGGTGATTCTATAGGAGCTACCCATTGCAAGCCGGAAAATAGTAATATAATTTAGCGAGTTTGAAACAAAACAAAGCAAAACAAGAAAAGAAAAGGAGAGATGTGAGTATCCTTCTTTGTACTTTTCTCGTCATTTTTTTCATTAGACATAATTCAATGATAAGCACTTGACAAAGTGAAAGTGAGTTGACCTATAACTGCAAGAAAGTCGGACTTACCTGTGAAACTAAGTGCACTGTCAGGCATCCTGCAAAAGGAAGTGACTTATAAGGCATGCTGGCCCACATTGAGTAGCATAGATTTAAATTAATAGAATGCCTGAAATTGTTTTAAATAAATTCATATGACAATATAAGAACAGATAAATAGTAGAAGTGTGACTTGCCTTAAAAAAGAGTACAGAACAGAATTACCATATATATCTAAACTGTGATTTTAAGGACGTCAAAGTGACAGATCCATGGATTACAAGGTTTGTCTGAAATTGTTGGTATTTTTATGTGGATGGATTTCAGGCATATATCCTCAAAATTCAGCCCCATTTAAACTTTCTGTGGAGGGATGCTTCACTTTTGACAGCCACCCTCCAGTTTTATGGCTATCTATTAGTTGAGCCCATCACAAGTCCAGTCCCAAGTAACAGGTGTAGGATAGTATACAAATATTGAGTGGCTCATAGTGGAATGGGAGGAATATTATTGCAAAGTAAAATCTATCACGAGGCGCAGCCGAGTGAAATGGAAAAGGCCGAATTTTACCGAGCGATAATGTTCCTCCCATTTCACAATTTAAAGCCACTCAATATTTGTTTTATTTTATAACTGACTTATACTCCTTGTCATTTGATATACAGTTAAATGAACTTCTATTTCAATACAAAATTGGCGGGAAATGTATTTCTCTCTTCCAAACCACCCCTTCACAAAATGTTTGAACCCAACTCTGTAGCTACTGGCTCTTGGGAACAAAAACTTGCTACGCGCAATGCTCAACGTGCACACCAGCATGCATTTGCACACAAATACCACACCACATTTGCACACAAATACCGCGCCACCATTGAATAGTAAATCCCATTCACCATGGGCCAATGGGACTTTTTGAGGCCCTGCGTGAATGGGAGCAGTAATGAATGTCACGTGATGTGAGTTCTACTAATCAAATGATAAGGATCTGTATGTCGGTTATATAATACAAAATGAATACCTTTATCATTTGAATACCTGTGAGGAATTGTGCTGCACTGGTCATCTCTTGATATGTTTGAATGTACATTGCTGTTTTTCTCTCAAACTGATTCAAATCTATTTGAGAATTTGTTTTTGCAGGTACATCTTATCTATAGTCATGGTAAAAGTATTAAGAAAGGGAATACAGTGCTGCTCAGGAATATTAAATTGATAGTATATTAACATTTGTAAGCATTGGCTGCAGTATGTTGAAAGGATGTTTTCAATGGGGAAAAAAGGGGATAAAGTAAATAGAGATACTGCTTTCTGCTTTAAATAACTTCAGGTTTTCTTTGTAATAGGTGTTTGTGTCTGTGTACTTCTATGTTGTCTTTGCTGTGCTTCACATCATCACCTGTTTAGCCGTGAGTGCACAAATGTACTACATGGGAACCTGGAAAATAGGTAAGAAAGCTATATAAAAATGCCCCGCTATTGTAGGAAAGACAACGGAGAAACATATTTTTTAAATTTTTTTTTTTGCTTTCTAATATTTGGAACTTGATCAATACCTGGTTTGTGGTGTTAAATAAAACGAGCAAATTTCGCATATGGATTTCAGCAGTATTGTAGTCGAGTACTTCTATCCCAGTACAAAACTTTCGAGTATCCCTCACATCTGAGTACTTTGACTCTTGAGAATGAGTACAGGTACCCAGAGTCCAGGTACTTGGAGTACTAGTATGAGTACTTGGACCAGCAACATGGATGTTATGGACTACTTTTGAGCAAGTATCGATAAAATGGAGCACGTGTGTCTCCAAGTGAGATTATTTTTCATTCCAAACTTAAGTACTCGCTTTTCCCCCCGAGTCCTTAAAACGAGTACGAGTACTTTGATGATGGAGTACAATATGGAATAGTCGAGTCCTTGTACATGTACTTTGCTTCTCAGTACAAGTACCGTGAATTCGAGTCAAACTATTTTCATTTTTGAGTACGATTATTCTAAAAAAAAGTACTCAAATTGTACTCGACTGCGAGTACCGAGTACCAGTGCTACAACACTGGGCTTCAGTAAACCTACCGCCTGAAGTCATTGAATCAAATCAATGAGGGCAGCAAACAATTATACGAAAACGTGAATGTACGTACAGCATCCCCAAACCAGGGATAGTGCAAAAGAGTATGTGCTTGCGCTGATAATTTACTCGAATTCAAAACAAAATTATTTACATGAGCAAAGCAAAATCATTACCACTAGAAAGTAGTCAGACTTCTTATCAGTCAGTTCAGGTTTAAACCGATGTGACTATGTCATAGGAAACTTCTAAATCACTTTTTTGGGGAATAAAAAGTTTCCTTGCTGTCAATCCTCTGAAAAACATGACACCAACGCTAGAGTTGTGGCTTTGATACCTTAACCCATGCGATTGCAAAGTGTTTCATATTTACACCATGCTGGATGCTGTGTAACAGCACTTGATTTACATGTACAAAAAGAACGTAAGGTGTAACACTGCACAGCCTCCATTCCACGTGGAGGGGTCACTTTTCTCTATAATTCTTTAAGCCAACATCCGGGGCTGATGTCTGTTGTTCTGATTAGGCCTTGAGTTATAATTAAAGTTGCCTTCATTCAAAGAAATGCGACTGTTGATTTCAAGCAGGTTCAAGAAAACTGTCCTTGCATGGCCATTCCCCTTTATGTAAACCAAATCATACAATAGGTATCATGGAAAAGCTTTTTAAATGTATGGAAGACACAATGTACCATTTGGCAATGTGTACCAATGAATGCAGAATCAATCCCAAACCTGTCAAATAATGCTGGATTCATGCTGCAATTTTGATGGTGGAGTCTCTCATCGACGTCGATGAATAAGCATCCATATTATGACATTGAGTATGTGTTGTGTAACCGCATGTGTAGAGTAAGCCCAGTCTTGGCTTTACACACGCGGTCGCATATGAAGCAGATCAAGTTGGGTGCTGTCTCATGCAAACTTTACTGTATTGTGAATCACTCAATTGGAATCAAGTTGAATCAATATTGGTTCGGTTTGCGGTAACACCATGTGGTAATATCTACTGCTTAGAAGATATTTAGTTCTGAAAAGAACTTGTCCTGCTTATTATCAACTTTTGCCATGTAGTTTTTGTTTTGATAAGAACAGTCCTGCTTTAAGTTCTAAAAAGACTTGTCTTTGGTCTCAATGTTTCGACTAGCCTGCTCTCGTCATCGTCAGCAGACTGAAGAAAGTTGGAGATGCTGCTGCTTATTAGGCTGAGTTAGGATTTGGAGTGCTTGTGTTGGTAGATTCTGATTGGTTGTCTGTTGGGCATTGTGTTAGAGTCATAGAGTGGGATGCCCTGCTCGCTCGGGTGTGTCAGTTGGCTGTGAGCCCTGGGGATTGTGTTGGACTGGGATGCCCGCTGATTGTGCTGTTAGCTCAGGTGTGTCAGTTGGCTGTGAGCCATGAGTGTTGCAACTTGGTATTAGTGAATGCCATATGTTGCTAATGAAATAGCTGATGTCTTGTGGTACAGTGTTATGTTTGTGGATATCAATTCCCTGATACGACGAGTGTACCAGTGATTCTCTTGGGCTATGATTTCTGCTTGTTCCCAATCAACGCCATTATCCAAATCAGCAGAGCGTTTGACAATGGCAAATTTTTCAAGTTCCCCTCTGCGCCCGTGAGCTATGTGTTCATTAAGCCTGGTAGTGAGGTCTCTGCCGGTCTCGTCAATGTACACTTTTCCACACGAGCAAGGAATTTGGTAAACTCCTGCTTGACTGTGGGTGTACATTTTTGTTTCTAGTTTATTGCGGGTTCGGTAGTAGACCTTAATATCCCCTTCACGGAGGATACGCTGGATTTTGTGTGATGCATGGCCAATGTATGGAAGGATGGCAATCGGCATGTCGGGTGTGTTCGGGGTCTGAGACTTGTTCGTATTCGGTGCGAAGTTTTGATTTTTAGGTCTGTACCCATTGTCTCTTAGCACCTTATTTAGGTGCTTCAATTTGGATGGTAGGTGTTCTTCATCAGTGATGATGTGTGCCCTTCGAAGTAGGGTGCGGTTCACCGAGGTTTTCACTGATGGTGGGTGGACTGAACGAGCATTGAGGTATCAGTCTGTATGTGTAGGTTTCCTGTACACAGAGTGTCCAAGTGAACCATCGGCCTGTTTGGAAATGAGTACATCAAGGAAAGGCAATGAATTGGATGTCTCAGTTTCCAAGGTGAACTGTGTACTCGGGTGTTGTTGGTTGAGATGGCGGAGGAAACCATCAAGTTTATCAGAGCCATGTGGCCATATGATGAATGTATCATCTACGTATCAAAGCCATAACTTGGGTTGGAATTGAGCTGTTGCCAAGGGTTTTTGCTCGAAATCTTCCATGAAGATGTTGGCTAGGACTGGGGAAATTGGGGACCCCATTGGAGTGCCTGAAGCCTGTTGGTAGTACTTGTCTCTCATTGGAAGTACGTAGACTTTATGCAAGTCAGGAGAAGATCATGGATTTGATCTGGCATTAGGCTGGTTCTTTCCGCGAGTGTGCCGTCTTGTTCGAGTATGGACTTGGTTGTGAGGCATGCTTCTTCAGATGGTACATTAGTGAATAAAGACTGTTCTTATCAGAACAAAAAGTACATAGCAAAAGTTGATAGTAAGCAGGACATGTTCTTTTCAGAACTAAATATCTTCTAAGCAGTAGTTATCACCACATGGTGTTACCGCAAATTGCAACAATACCGATACTCCACCATGCAAAGCCTAAAATCTTAAAAGTTGAATCAAGCCAAAGAAAGTTGAATAGCTTAACTGGACTCGTGCATGATATTTCTTGGATGCATGTTGTGTGGACAAGTTTGTCAAAATCAGTTTATTTACTGTATTTTTTTTTTATTTTAGATTTGGGCATGTTCAAAAGGGCCGCGATAATATTTCGCACTGAACTCTGCAAGTGTGCCCGACCTGTTTATATTGTAAGTAAAATGTTTAGTCCACTTGTACAGCCACTGCATTTGCATATTTCCCACAACTGGTTGGTTCCATTCACCGAGGTCACACAATAACACCCCCTATAGGCTGACCATACTGCTTGCCCTGTTGTATTAGTACCATCATGACTTCCTTTTTGCAGAGAAGGCAAGAATGTTTTTGTAGTACCTCTGTAATTTTTAAAGTTCTTTGTGTTTCTTCCCCCTCCCCATTGTCTGTCAAAGTATTTTTTTCTCTGTACAGAACAGTTGCCTTCATCATTTCCAGATTATTCAAAATGTCATATAAGGTGAGGGAAGTGATGGTAACGAGCAGAAAAACAAGAATTTGCCATTGACCATCTGTTCCCTCAACATGGAGAATATGTGGGATACTTTTAAGGCATTACTTTCCATGTGGCTCCCTCCAGTGTTTTGTGCCTGAGTTTGCCACAGCCCCCTCATACTGACCACTGATGTTGGGAGTTCACAAGAAGGAGTTCAAAAGTCGGTCTACATTAAAGAGGTTGTGGAATGCTGAACCTTTTTTGTTTTTAAATTTTGTTTTTATATTGTAGTGTTTATAAAATTGAACTTCATCGAGTATTTTGTTGGTCAGCGAGTGCATAATTCGTTCACAGCCGTTCTATGGAGGGGGGCCGGAGATGGCTCGGCACACTGTCGCTTCATCGTTGCAGCGGGCATCGATACCGCCATTGTATTTCTGTGCAGCCTTATAGCAATTTCAAATTGTCTGTTGAGCAAAGTCTTCCCGTATAAAATGCTCAGTGCATACATGTATATCAGCAACCTATCCGTTTAGCTGAAATCCAATCTCATGTTTCGGAAAAATTTCACCCACTTGCGCCGATGGAAAAATTGGAAATTAGAAAAAAAACGGAAAAAAAAAACAACAACCTTGTATCAGGGCTGTTCTTTTTGGTGTGATTACAGCCATTGACAACACAATTAATTGGCATAGCTTGGCCTAGGCCCTAGCCTTGTCTGAAGCATTCGCTACCCATACATATCAACAACAAATTATTTAGCAATTCCAAAACTTTTTTTTCGGTGTCAAAATCTCTTCCTTGCGGTGCAAGCTTTATAGTTACACTGTTTAGGCCAAAAAAAACAGTACTTGGTCTCTGGTCAGCGCGCTTGTCGATTTTAATCATGCGCGTCAACCTTTTTTTTTTCCTTCAAATTAACACGGAAGCTACAACAGCGCCCTCTATTGCTGCACCTCCTCAAATTTTTGTTCCAAGGAGCACCAAGGAATGAGGAAATTGCACCAAGGTAAATGATAAAGGGCACCAAGGCAAATTATGGAGGACACCAATGTATAATGAGGACACAAAAAAGCAAAATAGTACCCACCTTGTCTGTACAATTCAAGCTTGAAAAAAAAAAGCCACAAAAAAAACAAAAAACGCGTCGCCGCATCAATTTCGCAACTTCGGTCTGACCAGAGACCGATTATTTTTGGGGGGGCCTTAGTGTACTAAAAATCAAGTGCTGAACAATGTTGATGTGATAGACTTTTCTTTTTACTATGGTTGGCAAAAAAGATGGTACACAAAAGAACTATCAACAAGCTATAAATAAAATGCTCTGTAACTATCAAAACACTGAATAATCAACACTCACTACCAACAAGTCAACGAAGATATCTCAATGAGAATTTTGGGGGACAAATATCGCGTTGTTATTGTAAACAAAAGCCTCTAGTTGTGCGGAGTGATTTGCAAAAAGTTTCTTGGGAACTACGCTGTGCCGGGAGTCCTGTTTAAGGCGGCATGCTTTTCCTATGATTTGTTTGCTGCCTCCAGGGACAACTTGACACAATTTGCACTGTCGGGTCTAGACAGAACGTGAATAACAGCTCTCAAAAGCACCTTTTGTATTCATTTCATGATAGAAAAAATAGTCTGTTTTATACAACACCTGAATAAATCCCTATCATCTGATTGGTGGATCGTTGATCACATATCATTGAATTATTCGTACCAACGCAAGGCGTGCGCATGGAAGTTCTATTACACTGTGAATAGAACTTCCATTGCATGGTGTCACTGCTGCTGGTGGCGGCGCTGTTTTAAATCGAGATAAATTGAATCTGATTGTTCTTAACCTGTCGAACAGTTTGCATTAATATAAATATGATGAACTTGTCGAACTTTTAAACAGTTTTTAACCTGAACTTCAATTGGCTTTTAGAAGTCAACCAATCAGATGACAAGGATTTATTCAGGTGTTATATAAAACAAATAATGAATGTTTCACGTCGTGCAATGGAAAGAAAAATTTCATTCGGTGACAGATGAAATGTTCCATTCCACTCGGCTTCGCCTCGCGGAATGGAACATTTCATCTGTCACCTCATGAAATTATTCTTACCATTGCACTCACAAACATTCATTATTTGTATATTATTTGTAAGCGTCATATACCTACAAAATGATCAAGATGTCTTCACGCAATCAACAACTTCTTTAAAAAAGGCCAAAAGGCGTATCCCTATGTCCAATGTGCCAATCACATTGGATCAGTTCTTCTAGAGGAATCGTAATATACAAAACAGGGTGGATTTTTGGAGGACATATGCATTTGTGTGGCATTCAAAAGCTTGGAGACTACATGTAGTATTTGTATTGTTACCTATGACATGGTCTGGTGGTCTCTTCCAAAGCAAAGCACTGTCCTGGGAGCATGTTATTGTAAGAGCGTGTGGTGGCAGTGCTGAGCTGAGACATGTAATGTGATGTATATAGAGCCTATAATATACAAATACAGCAGGGTTTGAGGTGAAGTAGGTGGAATTACTGGGCCCGAGGTACATGGAGGTGTAGGTCAGCTTGACTACCTCCCAACTACCTCCCGACGTGAAGCGACTCATCAACATGGCCACACGCTTGATATCATTTGCACGTGTAAGCTGATGGAATCGTCTCTGATGTTTCCGCCACGCATTACCTACCATCAGTTCATGCAGCATTGACATGTTTGCTTGACATTGGCAAACCCCAAACTGTCAAAATGGAGATTCAATTTCCCAAAATCTGCAATATTGACATCGAAGCATTTTGTAACGACATTCTTGAGTCTGATCTCTATTCATCAACCAGTTCCGACGTAAATCAACTCATTTTACAATATGAAACCGAACTGCGCAAAATATTGGATAATCACGCCCCTTTAACAACAAGACTGAAAACATGTCGACCACATGCGCCATGGTTTGGTGAGAACTTGCGTAAAATGAAGCAGAAGCTTAGACGACTAGAACGAAGATGGCGATTATCCAAGTCTGAAATTCTTTGTCAGTTCTTCAGAGATGAGAGTTGGAAATACAATTACCTTCTACAGGAAGAAAAACTGAAGTTTCACTCTCAAAATCTGCAAGATTGTGATTCTCGTCAATTCTTCCAGAGAATTGGTCGGCTATTTCAGCCGAAAGCAACAAAAACTTTTCCATCGGATAATAACCGGGCAATGCCTCTCACTGAACGTTTTTCAAGCTATTTCTCTGACAAGATTGAAAACATAGTAATTGATCTTCAACAAACCTCCAACTGTGACATCCCTGAAATAGCATTTCGAACATCAGAGGAAACTTTTGATGGGTTTTTATCAGTTGAGGAGGAGCAGGTTGTGAGACTGATTGCTAAATCAAAATCAACAACTTGCAGTCTTGATCCTGTTCCGGTCTCCCTGGTAAAGCTTTGTGCCCATGAACTTGCTCCAATGATGACTCGCATAATTAACATGTCATTGGAAAAGGGGTACTTTCCATATCTATTGAAACACTTGCATATTTGTCCGCTATTGAAAAATCCCAAACTTGACAATGAATAGCTTAAAAGCTACAGACCAATAGCAATTGAACGGGTGGTGGCCCTGCAAATCTAGGATCATCTATCTCATAACATGTTGCATGCAACTACACAGTCAGCTTACCGGGCTCATCACAGCTGTGAAACGGCGTTGCTTCTGGTGTATAATGATCTTCTTATGGCTCAAGATGGGGGACAGGAGGCTATCTTGGTGCTCTTGGATTACTTGGCGGCATTTGATACCATCAGCCACGATATGTTGATACAACGCCTGAGTGAGAGATTTGGTATTCGTGACAAAGAGCTGAACTGGTTCAAGACGTTCCTTACAGACTGGTCTCAGTCCATTTTTATTGGAAAAGGCGAATCATCGCCCTATATCCAAGATCGTGGAGTACCACAGGGATCGGTTGTTGGCCCTTTAGCCTTTACTCTATATTCATCACCACTACAGGATGGCATCAATCACCATGGAATATCCAACATGATGTATGCTGACGACACCCAACTTTACATCTTTTTCAAACAAGATGAAGCAACATCAGGGATTGTTTAGCTTCAAAACTGCTTGAAAGACATAAAGATGTGGTCAACACAAAACTGTCTGAAAATGAACAATAATAAAACTGAGATTATTCATTTTTCTAATTGCGATAGATCTTGTAATCCTATCACATGTATCACATTAGGTAATACTTCAATATGTCTAGTTTCTAGTGCTCGCAACCTTGGAGTTGTATTTGATGCTCATCTTTCTGTGAATAATCATATCAGTAATGTGTGTCGTGCTGCTTCATTTGCCCTTCACAAAATTGGTACCATTAGACAATATTTGGATAAAAAATCTACAGAAAAATTGATTCATTCTTTGGTTATGTGTCGCATAGATACATGTAACAGCTTACTGTATGGACTGCCTAATGCTCAAATTAGTAAATTGCAACGTATACAAAATTCTGCAGCTAGACTTGTCACCAGGACTTGCACACGTGAATCTATCACACCCATTCTCCATGATTTGCACTGGTTGCCGATACGGGCAAGAATTGATTTTATTTAAAGTTTTGGTTCTTGCATATCAATGTATCCATGGTTTAGCCCCTGTTTATCTTCAAAGTTTAGTTCAGGTGTACCAACCAGCTAGAAATCTGCGTTCTATTCATACATTTTTGTTGACACCCCCAGTCATTAAAACTAAGTCTTATGGTTCCCGCTCCTTCCAATCAGCTGCAGTTCAGTTATGAAACAACTTATAATTACCAGATGTTGTCAAATGGGCCAAAACATCAGAACAATTCAGAACCCAGGTCAAAACATATCTGTTCAATTTGTATAATTGTTGATTTCATGAGAGTACGTGCATAGGGACTTCAAGGTGATATGCGCTATGTAGGAATGGTTTTTATTATTGTTATTATTCTGTAAAGATTACATGCCATAGACTACATGTCTACAAGGCGGGTTCCGGAGGGAATTTTCAGTGCTACCAGAAAAAACTACCGCAGGGCAGCGAGCTGGATACTCACCGGGATGATGTCACCTGGGCGTATATCATTTTTACTTCCGGGACGCGCGGCAGAATCAGCCAATGACACGCTCCAATTTGATCATGAATATTTATGAGGTGTAGTAACAGTATATATAGCTTTAGCTTTGTGGTCACTTTTGAGGGCCCAATGGGAAGGACCAACTGTGTGCAAGTATTGGCTAGTGCGTATGTAGTGCAAAGTACAAATGACAGATGTTATTCTTAAATGTGCACACAACTGTCTGAGTGTCACATGTCATCAGCAGTGCATTCAAATATGCCTCCGAATTATCTCCCAGGAAAGTTAACTTTATTGCTAAAGAACAATTTTTTTTCTTTGTTTTTCAGGACCGAATGATTGTACTCATCATAGGAAATGCTGTCAATTGGTCAATGTAAGTATGCTGAAAATACTACAAATGAACCATTTCAAGATGTTAACCATTTCATTACAAATAGATTTTTCATGGACCCTTGTACATAAACAAATGATGACAATATGTGACCACTCACAAGAGCTGTGTGTGCTGCACACCTGGCACACTGATTCATGACCAAATGACTAGGAGTATGCGCAATGTGGTGTGCACAAAACCATAGTGTCTGTACGTAAGCAAAGACAATATGGGTCATGTACATGTAGGACTCCATTCCAGGCCTGGGACTCAAGTCTGTCTAGACGTAGGTTTCTGGTCCCTCCAGTGTCCTTAGGACTTCAAATGTAGAGACAGGTAGCCAGCAATGCATCCTGAATGCATCAGTTCCTCCTAATGTATGCAAATTGTATGCAGGACTTTGCACAGGTCTAATTCCCACCCCCTGAATTCAAAATCGCAACGATTACGTTTGCGCAGAACCAGCCTATTACAGAATGGCAACATGGCTACGAATGTGCAGTTTCTGTGAGGATGAGCTTTAATTTTTGCTGAATTCGAGAGTGTTTCTGGCAACTATCAATAAAGAGAGGGGCACTACTTTTCAGTATGTGAAACCTATGCAGTTGAAATGCTTGAAAGTTGCCTTCTTTGTCTGCTGGTTGTGGTAAGATTAAGAGTCAGTTTTTTGATAACCATGTGTTCAAGAACATCAATGCAAGAAGCTGTGAATATCGTTCCAAACAGAAACAATCATCTAGCCCTTCACCGACGTATAAACACTGTGTACTCAGTGTGTTACCTACCGAGTGAAAGTTGGAAAAAATCACTTGGTTGGGACTCGAACCCCCGACCTCCTGCTTTATAGTGCAGAGTTCTTACCACTCGACCAATCGAACCAGCCAACCGATCCCGTTAGCTTGGTGGTCAAGTGGTAAGACTTCTGCACTAGAAAGCAGGAGGTCGTGGGTTCGAGTCCCACCCGAGTGATTTTTTTCCAACTTTCACTCGAGAGGTAACACTTTGAGTATACAGTGTTTATACGTCGGTGAAGCGCAAAACTTAATTTGATTTACATCACCCCAACGCAAAATTCCATCTTATGAGTAAACAATCATGCTGCACACGCGCAGAGGTGATCCAATCATTGGCTTTAAATAAAAGCTAGCTACCGGTCTCCATAATTTGGGGGGGGGGGGGAACTAGTCAAGAGTCTGCCTCGAAACGCAATTTCTGTGACTGGGACTCGACTCAAGTCACATCTGCACAAGACTCAGACTCAGTCTCGACCATCATGACTCAGACTTGAAGCTCATGACTTGTGACTCGCGAGTCATATATTTTTTAACTCAAAGTATCACCTTTTGAAAACATTCCGATGTTTTTCCAAAGTAATGTGAAAGGAATAATGAAGAATGTTAAGCACATGAACCACATAATGCATTACTCTCCAGGTGGTGCATTCAAATAGTAAGGTTTGTTATAGGTTTTTAATCAATTACTTTAACACTTGTATCATTCAAATCCCATGAAAAGGTATTTTAATTTTGTTCTAGAACGTTGTTGGGCTTCATTGCTTATTTCAATTTCAAATTTGCAACAACTTCTTTCGTTTTTGGTGCAATGTAATTCATGAATGTAGCCTTCCAATTTGTCCTTGTTTTCATTTGAATTGATAAAGTAATTTCTTTTTTTTATCGTTCATTTCAAATGCTTCTGCCAGTCTATTTTGTTAAAGTCAGAAATTTTGACAATCTCTTTGACTCTCCTCAACTTAACTCTCCTCAACTTATTAAGTAGATTTTGTGAAATATTGTCACTCTTCCTTTCGTAATTGAGTAAAACAAATTAGGGGCGTGGCAACCATATTAGAAAAAAGGGGGCGGGTTTTCAGTATGCCTACCATGGAAAAATTGTTACCACATTCATAAAGAAATTTCTAAATTGATGTATAGATAAACATTGAAATCAGGCATAACATGCATGTAAAGATCTGCCTGTTGCCATCGTTCAACAGGGAATGTACGCAGCGTTGCAAGTGGACTGTGTGACTATGTACTGTGTGACTGTGTGACTATGTGTTTGGGAATAGTTGCATGAATAGTTTCATGGAATTAATGGACACTTGAGGTTCTCTATTATCATTTATGTAGATCTGAGGCACTTAAATAATTGGCTGTTTTGGCAACCTGCCGAAACAGCCTTTGTTTTTGTTAAATTTTTGGCTTTTCCGCAAAGTTGCCTTTGTGTTTGTTCTGATTTTTTTTTTCTTTCTTCTTCTTCTTCTTGTTCCACCCAAAATCCCATAGACTTTGTGCACGATTTTTCTGTGCGTCACTTTTGGAATTTATCATTTTTGGAATTGTCATACATTATTCAAAGTTAGCATAAGCATAGTCCCTATAGCAAAGATGTGTCCCGAAGATTGACGTCATGATGACGTCATCGTGGGTCATGTGACATCATCATTCATGTGCATATTATAAAAATATTATTATAAAGTCCTTTATCTACAGAACTGTCAGTCCGATTGGGTTGAAACTTGGTACGTAGGTAAACCGGGATGTGTTATAGATGAAAATTGAGGTGATGCCATGATGATGTCATCATGGGTGACGTCATCATTCATGTGCATCTTACAAAGTCCTATATCTACAGAACTGTCAGTCCGATTGGGTTGAAACCTGGTACGTAGGTAGACCGGGATGTGTTATAGATGAAAATTGAGGTGATGCCATGATGATGTCATCATGGGTCACGTGACGTCATCCTAAAAGTGCATATTGTAAAGTCCTATATCTAGAGAACTGTAAGTCCGATCGGGTTGAAACTTGGTATGTGAGTAGACGGGATAGGCAAAAATTTAGGTGATGACATCATGACGTCATCCTGTGATTTTATATGAATTTTTGGAATTTTGGACCTTTAAGCCATATTTCACGAACACAACATGCAAAATTCAAAATTCTTTTCTAATTATGTTTGTTAGGTAATAGGTATATGCACAAAATTTTGAAAAATGTGTGACGTCATCAGGACGTCATCAAAAATTCAATTTCTGAAAACACACATAAGGGAAGGTCCGATCGTCATGAAACTTGGTGGATAGCTAGCTAATGGTACCAGTATGCAAATTCCGATAAGACGTCACCATGACGTCATTGGTTGATTTTTTACATAATAACAATTTCATTGCACTTCCAAAATGTAACACTTCCTTTCATTGGATTGACTTCAACCTTAGTACAAACCAAGACCACAATGCAAAAATGTGCATTGACAACTGTAATCAAGATGATGTCATAGTGGGACATGTGATGTCATCAAATGCCAAATCCGAAGTGGTGTCAACATGACACCAACAGCTAATTTAAACACATTTTATATCTGTTGGCTATACTAGCTCAATATAACTTTTTATGAACTTGGAACCAAAAAAAATAAAAATTTTACATGACTCCACATTGGCAAAAAAGCATAAACTCATACAAAATAAAATAAGCGGAAAAGCCCTTTGTTCTGTTCTCATACAGACATAGATCTCTCGTTTTTTTTTCCTTCTTTTTCAGCCATTTCCCATAGTATTTGTACACGTTTTCATTGTGGAAGGCACTTTGGGCACTAAAATCAATCCAATTGACTTTATACTTGGCACACAATTGGACCAGCATCTGTGCCGAACATTGACGTCATCATGACGTCATCACGTGACCTGTGACGTCACAATATATGTGCATATTTCGAAGGCCTATATCTCCATAACTACAGGTCCAATCAGGTCGAAACTTGGTATGTACCTGAACTGGGATGTGTTATAGATGAAAATTCAAGGGACGTCACGATGACGTCATCACGTGACATGTGACGTCATATTAAAAGTGCATATTTTGAAAGCTCATATCTACAGAACAACATGCCTGATTGGGTTGAGAGTTGGTATGTATCTAGACCGGGATGTGTTATAGATGAACATTTAAGTGACGTCATATTAAAAGTGCATATTTTGAAGGCAAATATCTACATAACTAAATGGCCGATTGGGTTGAAAGTTGGTGTGTTCCTGAACTGGGATGTGTTATAGATGAAAATTCAAGTAGCGTCATGATGATGTCATCACGTGACATGTAACGTCATAGTGAATGTGCACATTTTGAAGGCCAATATCTACAGAACTACAGGTCTGATTTGGTTGAAACTTGGTATGTACCTACATTTTGTAAACTGGGATGTGTTAGATATGGTTTCCCAAATCTGCCATCTGGCATCTCGCATCTGGCATCTCACATCTCGCGTCTCGCATCTCGTGTCTCGCATCTTGCCTTAAAAATCTTGCATCTCGCATCTCACATCTCGCCTTCAAAATCTCGCATCTCGCCTTAAAAATCTCGCATCTCGCATCTCGCGTCTCGCGTCTTGTGTTTCGCGTCAAATGTAATTTGATTTTTTTCCTTTGATGGCGTGTGCGCTTCCAACATTAACGCACAGTGTATTTCCTGTGTGTAATATGGACATTGGCCTACATCTGGTTTTATGGAGCGCCAAAAGTGGACACCCATATTTTCCCACTTTCTGTTAGTAGAATTAAAGGTGTTTAGAAATTGCAACACCTGTTTTTAAAAGAACTCAGCGCCTGAAAAGTGGACAACTAAAAATCTCCTAAAGTGGACAACTCCATTTTTCCATTTCTTGCTTGCTGAAATTGAGATTTTAGAAGTCTCAACACCCGTTTATACTTTAAAAGTGGACACTTAAAAATCCTTAATTTCTGTTAGTAAATATTTGGGTTGAACTTATTATAGAAACCATCATCTTGTATCTTTGCAAGCCGAAATTTTGTCGTGAACCGAAAGTGAAGGAACTCAAATTCAAATTGTCTCAAGATCTACTTGGGTGCATTATTACAGCATTCCTCCATTTGATTAAGAACAATCTGTGGGCTGTTCACGTCATCACATTCTTTATTTCATTTCATTTCATTTGTTTCATTTATTATTTCTCAGGCAAGAACTCATACAGACACAAAATATAATACAAACATTTTGAGTAACAGGCCAGGATGGCAAAATTTACACTAGAAATATTGGCAACACACCCGAAGAATTGCCAAAAAATCGAACTAAATAACTGTCTGGTGGCTCTCCTGAAATGCTATTGAGTACAAAGAAAACAATTTACATGCATGTATACAATACCCAGTCGCGTCGAATATATTGCTTTTAGCAAAAAAAATAAAGAACGCCAAAAATATTAAATAATCTTGAATAAAGATAAAATACGAACAATTAAATCAAAGACTGGGATATCAAATCTATAGATAATACAAACAATTGGCAACAGATAAGACAATTGACAAGTACAACAACAAGAGCTAACTTTGCATATTAAAGGTTAAAAAAACATTAGGTTAGCCTATACAATTTTACCAGTAGCCCTCAACCACCAATATTACATTGCAATATTGTTTCTCTTAACCCTCTTTCTCTCCCAACACAGGGATTCAGTAAAAAAAATTCAAATGTATCAGTTTATCGTTTTTATTAGTGTTATATCTTTTTGTGGCGAAGACAACTTGATATTTTTCTGATAAAATGCAGCCTCATACCCAATTTTGCATATTGATTTATGTACATGTAATTATCTTTAGAAGATCTAAAACATTGTAAGTAAAACTCTCAGCAATTTGCATTAGAGTATCTCGTGAACCCGGAATCAATACATGTTTTCTTAGGGAATTTGTAAATGATGATAATCCCAAAACACCATGTCTTTGACAGTTGTCAGTAATGCCTCCCATAATCTAGGAAATCTATGAAAAAGATTTGATAAATCACCTGGCTCTTTGATGGTGAAACTTCACAACATCAGTGTGTCTAGCATTAACAACAATGTAATCATCAAAAGAAAGCCCTGTTTTTCTTTCTTGTAAGATTAACAATTTCAGCAGAGATCCAAGTGTGATCCTTTCTTCCTTTGTGTTGAGTAACGGGTACAAAATCTTTCATAACAGCGAACAGGAGATCTTAAAAATTATCCCAAATCTCACTATTCTCAGTTTACCTATAAGCCCTGTCTAAAGTGTGGACGATTCCGATGTGAGAAGGCTGGTCCATACAGTAGCAGCTAATCTGACGGTCCTTTGTAGCCTACTAATAATTATCTTCACCTAATATTTATCATTATCTAGTCTCTGGTGATTGCATCCCATAACGCTGGTACTCTTGCACTGACAAATTTCACTAAAGCTTTTGACATATGGTGAATCATGAGGGGCCATATCATAAGTCTGACGTCTGATAGGTCCGACGCCTCATAAGTCCAAAATTTCGGACTTATGAGGCGTCGAACTTGAGCGGACCCCAATCATAAAATTGCTATTCACAAACTTTTTGCAGTTAGGTATATCACCCACTATTGTGCATTTGATGGCTTTTTTTTTCTCAAGCAGTCGTCAACAAAGGGTAAGGTATAAACAAACATTTTCTGATTGGCATACTCTTTCTGGGGGTGTGCCCTAAGGTACTAAACTCAAAACTGTTATATTTCTTGCTTATATTAATAATGCTGTTGATTCTACTCAGATTTAATGCTTGAAATATGTAGACGATCTCCCTCTCTACGAAAATAGACACATCAATGGTGTTAGTAGGATTCAGGCAGATTTAAATAATCGCAATGACTGGGCGTTGGCAAATAAATCCACTTGAACCCTTCAAAATGTAACACTATGCAGGCGTACTTTGTGAAAAAAAATCCTCCCTATGTGCAATATTCCCTATCAAACGTTCATCTCAATAAGGTTACCAGTGTTAAGTTGTTAGCTGTTTAATACTTGACAACAAAATTTGAAATGGGATTCCCATATTGTGGACATTGTTGAAAATAAAAGCCAACTAGAAGCTTTTTGTGTTAAGGAAACTCAGAATGACAGGGTTTACTGACAACGAACTTGTGACTGTTTACAAAGATAAGGCCCGTTGTAGAATTTGCTGCCCCATTATGGCACTCGGGTATCACACAACTCTCTCTAACCTGTTGGAATCAATCCAAAGAAGAGTGTGCCACATTATTTTGGATCAAAAATAAACTGCATATGAATAAGCTTTTATAACTTTTGGTCTGGAACCCTGGACATATGCAGAACCTCCCTTTGTAAAAAAAATTGCAATGAAATCTTTCAAATCGAGTAAATTAATGAATGGCTCGTCGAATCTGAAAGCACCGGTATGAATCTCCGGTCCAGACGAACACTTCATGTTCCATCTTTTTGATAGCTAGCAGAAAATTGAGTATTTTTTTCAACCGGTGTTGCACACGCCATCAAAGTAACATATCAAATTACATTTGACACGAGATGCGAGACGCGAGACGCGAGATGTGAGGTGCGAGACCCGAGATCCAAGACGCGAAACGTGAGATGTGAGATGCCATGTGCGAGATGGCAGATTTGGGACACCATAGTTATAGATACAAATTCAAGTGACGTCACTATGACCTCATCATGTGACATGTGACGTCACATTAAAAGTAAGTTATTAAGGCCCCTATCTACAGAACAACATGTCCGATTGAGTTAAAAGTTGAAAATGTACCTAGACCGGGATGTGTTATAGATGAAAATTGAAGTGACGTCACAATGATATCATCACATGACGTGAAGGCATATTAAAAGTGCATATTTTGAAGGCCAATATCTACCGAACTGTATTGGTCCCGATCACTCTCCCGCACATGTTGTCCTATCAGTCTTACATGACATAAACATACATTAACAAATTACCGAAACAGCAGTATGTTTGTACACAAACATAAGTAAATCTAGTTTTGAGAGAAATTGTACAAGTAATTAATGGCCATGATCGCCTATTTGCACAAGAGTTAAAATTAGACTTTCTACTAGTCTTCCAGTGAGATTGTCCTAATCTTCAACATGACCACCATTCCTTTGGATACAGACTTCCGCCTTCCTCAACATGTCATTTATGACATGCCTGACCATTCCTCTGTCCTGTGTGATACTAAAAAGGATCTTTGTTGTGGTTCACACTGATGTCTAATCATCTTGTTCAATACTATTCAGTTAAAAAATAACATGTGTGTCCATATCCATGTACTTGTGACTCAGACTTGGACTCGAACCCAAATGACTCAAGATTTTGACTCGGTTTCGACTCTGGTGACTAGAGACTCGGATTCAGACAAGAATGACTCCACTACAACACTGAATATGGGCGCTGTGAGCAAGGTGTTGGCAATGAGTTCATCAAGATTTCTGCCCAACTTCCCTCTCTTTGTTATCGTTGAGGGGGTACTTGTTCTGAGTGTCCATAGGCTGCAAAATAAGGACCAATTCCTCTAATGATACCTCTTCAAGTCCTCCTGGGGCAAGATGTGATCGTTCTCCCTCCACATTACCGTCACATGCACATCCATGCACTTTCATGGATTATTGAACAGGCAGTATTATAAACCATTCCCAAATGACTGGCTATTTTTTCCACATATTCTGACTTGTAGGGAATTTTTAAAGGCTTCATAGGGTCAAGTCATCAGATGACGTAAGCTTTGGATTCAGGTCAAAAGCCCTTCTTGGCAACTAGGGTCTAGTCAGGTCAGGGACAGTGATTCCTTACAATTCATGAGTGGTACTTATCATCTTCGATCTTCACTAGCTTTTGGGACCCAGTGGCAATGTGCAATCGTATCACTTCTCAGTGTTCTATGTCCTTACGGAATTCCCTAAATATCCAAATGGATCGCCATTCAAGTAAGAACATCACAATTTCTCCGAAATTGGTGATTAAAAGAAAACAGATCAGGAAGAGCATTTGCCTTCAAAGGGGTACAAGCTGTGTGCATGGAAGTTTATGGCTTTTGGCAACTTTTCAGTGAGGTTGGCATGCATGCAAAAATGTTTTGCAAAAACGGACATGAATGTTTCTCTTCTGGAATTAAAAATTCGTTCAGATTTTGGGAAACATTTGTCAACCTTCAAATGTTTCATTTAGTTTGACTGTACATGTATTTGTTAAATTCCTTATAATAGCCGATTATAATGATAGAATAAAAATATACATAGTATAAATGATACTTTTCTTGTAACTTTGAGCTACTTGTTCATATACTTGAAAATTCTGACACTTGTTTTAACATTGTCAAGCAAGAATGTCTGAAATGCTTTTTTGTTAAACAAAATTTAATGTTTGAAACATGAACAGTTGGAGTTGACATTTGAGACACTTGTTATCCATATAACACATCTAATATGTAAAATGGTAACTGGTGTCTCAACTGTAATCCATAATGCCTGAAACCTGGAATCCTTATGAGGTTTGGGTTTCAGACATTTGATCACTGTTACAGATATCAAATGTCTCAAATGGTGACCATGTCTGAAACATAAACTCCATTGGTTATGATTTAGACATTGTGTCTGGAACAAGACCTTTCAGACATTCATGGTTCATAGTGCATTTTTTTATTTTCAGACTCCCTCTAGTAGTTGATTGATCAGTTATTGAACATTTTGATGTATGAACACAATTTCAAATCATATGTTTGTTAATGTTATTCCTTTGGTTTGTATTGTATTTTCCCTTCTGCCAGAACAATCTACGGCCTTGTCAAGATGCCCAAAGATTTTAATTCATACCTGTTGGCAATTTTCCTTGTCAATCTGTTGCTTTATGTGGCATTTTACATCATTATGAAGGTGAGTTTTGTTTATTGAACAGAAGATTATGTTGTGCATGATGTGTTCAAGTAGCTGTATAATTGAAGTAAATCTAATGGCATTTTGATTGCTTTATCTTTTGTTAACATACCACAACGCTTCTCCTTTGCCCTTGCATAAGTAATATGTGGAACCATGGTGTATCACTGTCTGGCCATTATCAAGTACATAATGTATGTATGCCCTCACTGTGTAAGCTGTCATCTATCCAAAACAAGTGGCAGATTGGTTGCATTTTCAAATCTTGCTCACACATGGAAATAAAGCAACGGTATGTTTGACGTGCATGGAGAGAAAGGATTAAGAACTGCTCTTTATTGACATCTATTGCTTATGAATTAATTTGATAGCAAACTGATTTGTGAATATATATATATATATATAGAAGCGCCATGAGTGCCTTTTAGGCGGATACCGGTGCTTTACAAACATTCTTTTATTATTATTATTATTATTATTATATATATTTTTTCTTAATTTGATCAACAGGTTCGAAATGGAGAAAAGTTAATACCTGCAGTTGTTGTCATTATTATATTAGCACTTGTGATTTGGGGTCTGGCACTTAACTTCTACTTCATGGGACTCACTGGATGGGAGGTAGGTTGCTTTCTGCCAATTCAGAGATTTTGCATGTTCCCCTAGGCCGCCCTCAGGTGGACCTGAAATTTGCATGCACCACAAGGAAACTGTTGGTGTCAAGCAGAAAAGTCATTCACAGGTCACAAAACTGAGAAATTGTGTGTTTATCGTGGAAAAAGCGGCATCTCAACACAAAATAATCGCAACCATGATCATGTCACCCACAATACCATGAAAATTCCATAGCATAGATGTGATCATGTAAAGTCTTCAAAATGGTGGTGCACGTAATGATAACAATTAAATGATCTTCCATGGCCACGTCAGTTCATTGGGCCGTTACGTTGATTGGCTACACAATGAACTAAGATGATTCAGATGCGCGCATGATGTCATAACTTCACACATGTCGACTGCAATGGATTCCCACCTGTCGGTAACATGTGCCATTCCTGCAAGGAATTTGAAATTTGTCTACCCTTGCAACTGTTGATTTTTTTTTCAGCACTGACTGATGCTGATCATCTTCATATCGTCGTAGTTATACTCAGGTTGCAACAAATCAGAGACTGATATGTTCCTGATGATCGTAGTTCAGGCACATTGTGTCATCACAAAGTCTGTTTCAAGCATCAGTCCCTTCCATGCCAGTGCAGCCAAGCTGCTGTGTCCGTGGAGAGTGCTATCAACAATATAATTCTTTGCAATTGTTAACAATGTGAAGATCAATAATGGAAGCCTGTAGGTTGGGTATCACTAAATCCTGCAGCACTCATGCGGGTAGGATTGCATCATCCATACCATTGGTTGTTGTGTCAGTTTGACTACATGATATGCACATTTGGGCAGTTAATTAATTGTGGAAAAATGTGATGCATGTGGAAAAGGCCAAGGTACAATCAAAACAAAATTACAGCTGAGAATATCTGGCACCTTTGCTGTGGTTATGCTGCATTACACTGCAGAAGGTGTCCACCATCATCCATGGATTTTTTTTTTAATCAGTTAAAATATCCAAGCGCTTTGATGAAAGTCATAGCAGGTACCATTGGCCAGGGTTATGTGACCCAGCCAGGCTCTATTGATAGGGATTGATTGTGGGAAAAGAGCTTCCCCAGAACAAGACGACTGATTTCGAAGTTTCTAAGGGGCCATTCAAAATTTTTGTATAAGGAAGGTTAGATGGTAAAGACTTGAGGGCATCATTGCCAGAGGTACATGCATACCTAACCCATGTTTTTGGAAATTAGTTGTGTACAAATATTTTGTTACTTAAGTTTTGTTGAAAGGTAGAAATAGGTAGAATATAAGCATGCGTACAACTTTGCCTTTCGGATGTAATTAGTGTGCAGACAAATTTCAAGAGGTGTAATGACTTGAGTCAATGACTTGACTCGAGTCCGACTCGAGTCAAAATTTTTGGTGACTTGACTCGACTCGAGTCTCTAAAGGTAAATGACTTGACTCGACTCGAGTAATTGCGAGCAAATGACTCGACTCGAGTCCCTTATCAGAAGACTTCACATGAGCAAAGACTAATAAGACTGAGTCCCAAAAATAAAAGCAAAACTTTGCGAAAAGTATTTGCAATGATTTACAGTGCAAAATTTATGTTCATGTCACTTTGCAAATACAGTACGGTACAGCAGCTACTTGTCATAAACAAACATACAATCAGTCCCAGATTCATGTCTTATCATCATTTTTGCAATGAATGCCCTTCATTGAGATGATATATGGAGAAAAAAAGTGGCGTCAGGTTGCAACATTTGTCCCGGCTCCTTCCGTCGACAAATTGATAGGTCAGACGATGATTACTTTCTGACTCGAAGTAGGTTTTGCAGTGACGGCGGAGAATCTGACTGTGAAGATGCATTGGTAATTTCGGAAGGAAATTTTCACGCATACGGTCCTATTAATGCTCATTATAGAGAACAATTGTCCGACATGTTCAAAGTGTGGATTCGTAATTCCGAATCCACATTTTACTCAAGATTCTTCGTTCCAAATCCACACTTTGTGACCAGCGTAACAGATTCGTAGTTCCGAATCCACACTTTTAACAATGGTGTGACGTCATAGCAATGGTTTAAGTTTTTAACACCCGAGGGGCACATCTGCCTCGGGTGCTATGTTTTTGCCATACAACATGGCTTTGAAGGCTTGTCTACTACCCACTGCATGCGACGCTATACTTTCTTTGCCTACTACAATGGCAACGCCGACTTTCCAGTACCGGGATGTAGGCTGGGTCACATGAGCTACAGCCCTATAATTCATGTGATTAAGTGTAACATTTGGCTATGGGATGGCATGCCTTGTCATCTTTTCCATGTTTGTCAGTCAGGTTTGTCTACCTTCCTTTATACCTCTAAGTTGATGCCCTGGGCAAAATTGTCAGAAGTCAGAAATGGAAAGGATTAAGTGTATACAGTATATATCCATCAAATATTGTTCTTTTGTTACACAGAAGACCGCTGCTTTGTCTCGCGAAAGTAATGCTCCATGCCTGGTGATGGGTTTCTATGATGGCCATGATGTTTGGCATATCTTGTCAGCTGCAGCTCTTTTTCTCTCCTTTTTGGTGAGTTTCCAAACGTCAGTTCGTTTGTTCACATATATGATGCATGGGGTAACAATGGATACATAAAACAGAACTTTAACAGCTTAGAGACTGTGTACATGTATATATTTTTGGTAGTTTATTGGGTTTTCTTCTATTATACGACAATTGAGACAAATCTAGTTGGTGCAGTTGGATACTGCCCATCATTTTGGCTTCTGTTTTGTAGATAAGCAGTGGACTTTGTTCATGCACAGTAGATCACGCTGTGCTATGAGATCCCCATTCAGAGAACATACCCATGTGCACACACAAGAACACCCAAACGTGTGTTCACCGTCGATTGTGGACATCTTATTGTCCCTCTTTTGTTTGCACTCTCACTTTTTAGGAAGACTCCCATAGGTTTTGTACACGACCCCAATCGCGGACGTATGCTGGGAATCGTGGACGATATTGTTCTCTTTTGTTCTCTGGTATTTTTCGTCCACGGTTTGAAAAGATGAACATGTACACGCATGCTTGTTCCGTAGATGTGGGGACTACACATGAGTTGTCCCATAGTACTATGGGGACCGAAAATGCTGTGGGACAGCAAAAAGTCCCCATAACTCCGTCCTAATTTGCCACACAATAAAAACTTCCCTATAACACAGTGACAGCCTGACCACTAGTTGTTGCATAAATTCTGCATAAATGCTGGTCTTTCTGTGCAAGCTCATGGTGTCTTCTTGTCACTGTTGAGGCCGTAATTATGATTATTTTTATTTCAAGTTTAAAGTCATTTTTTGTTTTTATTCTGTTTACATGTATTGTAGTTGGTACTTCTGATGGACGAGGATCTGGAGGGGAAAGATAGAACGAAAATACCTGTGTTTTGAAAGTCTATCTTTTGGGGCTTGGGACACCAACAGTTATTCCCTTTACTGAGTACTTTTCAACACAATTTACATATACCTTCCGAAAATTGTTATAAACTGCTTCATGTTTGACAGAGCCTAATTGATAAACTGTATACACAGGAAATAGTAAAAAAGTTCAAATATATAAGCAGCTTAACTCTCAGATTTCCTTGTGTTTAAGAACAAGGATCATGCAACCAAAGTCATTTAAAATCTTGTTAAAATCTTGCTCTTAAGGCCTCTAAAAGTTGCATGATTATTTTGTAAGAGTTTTGGTTATGCTTGCCCCAAATAATCTCTGAAGTATTTAGGTTATTTAAGTACATCATTAAGGCCCTAGACTCTTTTGAAATGACTTTGACAAATTTGGAATAATCAAGCTGAGGCATTCAACTTTATCAATTAGAATGACAAGGTCACACTTCACTGTTGACTAGATGGTTCTGATTGAACTCACCCAAAGCTGTGTCAGGAAGTAACTGCAATAAACATGGCCAACAACGTAGAAATTAACAGAATGGTCAATTCCGGCTACAAATGTGATATGACGTTAGAGTTGTACTTAACTTTAAAATATTAAATCTAAAGCCCAAAAATAAGAAATCAATATTTTGGGTGGATTTGTGGTGGTGCAATGTGTGGCAATGTGTGACAAGGATTGGACCTTCCTGAAAAGACTTAAAGAATATCTTTCTGAAATTTCTGTTGTATACACAACATATATATTTACTCTCGGCAAATACGGCTGCCATAATTGCATGTATCATTTTATTGTTATAACCCTTTTCCAGGGTTCATATCTGTGGAATATGACAGAACATAATGTATTGATTTTTAGATTAGAACACTGTACAAATCAATAAATGACTATAAACAAAAGCCAAAGACTCATTCCTAAATTTGTGAAGATTTTGGGGGACTCGAGTAGGTGAATGTAATGTAGTGCTATATCAACTGCAATATAAGTTTGCAGGTCATATCCACTTTTTGTTTAGCCATTAACAAATTTTATGATTAAACCAGTGGCGGCACCAGAGTCTAAAAAAAAATGGGGGGGGGGGGGCAATTGGGGGCAAGGAAGTATTTTTTGGGGGGGGGGGGGGAGGCAAGTCAATGGTCCGGAAATAAGCCGGGTTCTAAGAGCAACTTAGAAGTGAAGTCCTTTTTATGAATGAGAAATGTATCAAACTGCAGAATGGTACATAACAAATGTATTACAAATGTACAAAGATGTTGGCTGCACACTGTCTACAGCTGTTTAAAGATATAGTCCATCATTTGTAATTTGTGCATTTTGTTCGTTTGAAGCAACAAAAGTGTTCAAAATCTAATGAAGGATACTGAACAACTAACCTGATGAAGTTTCAGCTCAGCTTCAGCTGTATATTCCGAGAAAACAGCATTCTAGGATCTCAATTTCCAATTAAAAGTTGCTGAATCATGTTTTGAATTGCAGCTATACGCGATGTCGCGCACTGATCCGACAAATTATAGGAACCGCGTGCGCCTGTGCGTCGTGTCAATGCTTGCGCGTGCTGCGCCGAATAACAAAACGAACTACTAATTTAAATTTTCCTACGGTGCGTCTTAAGATGCACCGTTGGAAAGGCCTTCTTTCGTTGATTACTTCAAAATGATAACTTGCCAGAAAGAATCATTTCACAGGGAGTTTAGTCCCCTTACGATCTTTCAACCAAGTATGTTTTTCAACAATAATACGCCAGTTACTTTTTCGGATAGCTGCAAATGATGGACTACAGCTTTAAATGGATGTGTGGCGTGTTTTGTTTACCATAGTACCAATGTTTATAATGCTTCATCCAAAATGTGTCCACAGAAACGATGATTCACTCTCTATCTTCAACTTGTTGTTATGATCTTAACAGCAAAGAAAATAACATAGTTAATCGATTGTAGATAAAGTGTTGGGGGTAAACTGGGGGGGGGGGGGATGAGGGGAAAGGAAACAACTGGGGGGGGGGGGTAAATTACCCAATGCCCCCCCCCCCCCCCCCCCCCCCCCCCCCCCCCCCCCCCCCCCCCCCCCCGTAGCGCAGCCACTGGATTAAACCAAGTGCTTTTTCTTTACCTGTTTACGTCCCTGTTCACTGCAGAATGCTTGTTCGATGGTTAGACTTCTATCGATACTCTATCTGTTTTGTCAATGAAATTTTTTTTTTAAGGTGCAGTAATACCACACAACCACTTCAACTACTTCAAATAGCTTCTCCAGGTACTGTACTGCCCCAAACTTTCCTGCCTATTACTCCCTGTACGTGCCCAAAACGGCCCAAGCACTCTAACAATATTTAATGTGAAAAATGGAATGGTTACATGTTTCAATTTTGGCTCGGATTTTCCGGATAAAATTTTTATTTCTTTTGCATTTCTATAAAGTCTAGTAGTCAGGGATGTTAGGGCGTTATAGGGGCCGTTTGGTTCAGTTTCTTCCAAAAGCACCAAATTTGGCACAGATGTCAGTCATACCATACTATTTCGATTTTTGACGGGTGCCAAGACGGGCGCCCCACAGGGCCGCCATATTGGCAAAATCCAATATGGCCGCCAACCGGGTCAGAGGTCAATTGAACTAAACGAGCTAGAATCATAAATAATACCACTTTTCAGGTATTTTCGGGGTCGAACAATCTGAATCTGATGTTATTTAACAATTTGAGGCAAGACAGATGCCCCAAGGGACCGCCATATTGGCAAAATCCAACATGGCCGCCACTTACCGCAGTTAAAAAACTTAACTAGCTAGAATCATAAGTAATACAACTTTGGAGGGTTTTCGGTGTCAACGAATCTGAATCTGAGGTTATTTTAATGATTTGATGCCAGACGGACCATATTAGAAAAATTCAAAATGGCCGCCAGCCAAGTTAGAGGTCAGTCACAGTTAAAAACTAAACGAGCTAGAATTATTAATAATACCATTTTACATGGATTTTCAGGGTCGAAGAATCTGAATCTATTGTTTTATTAAAGATTGTATGTCACATTTTGCCCTAAAGGTCATTAAGGATTGGACTTATCAATAAAGATTATTGTTTGAACTATTTTCATTTAAATATTTAGAGATGATGTCTGCAGTGACAAAATGCTATATGCCGCTGTGTGCGTTTAAATGGAGCTGTTCATTTGTAGAGGACCTTGCATATAGAAACCTAGTGTGATTGCATTTCAACCTTCCTTTGCATGAGGCAGCCGCAGTGCACGAGAATGGCACATGTCACTGAAGCATCATTGAGTTGGTCCATAGTGATTGCCATGTACTGGTACCATCTTTGTGCCAGCCCCACACGATGAAGTCAGGAATTTCCTGCTGGACCGAGGTGGCCTGTAGTAGCGGTTGCTTTACATGTTCAAACAGCACGGCAGGTAGCTGGGATGCTTCCAACAAGCTGCTTCCAGTAGTGAAGAAGCGATGTCTGGCCCCTTTGATACCTACAGTTGCACCACACCCCTTGCTCTGCATGAAATGGCGAAGCAAGTTGTGTCGCACCATGTTAGGCTTTGGAAGAAGGGTGGTGCCAAGGACTTTGTCGGACCGAGATCGGAGTAGATGCTTTGGACTAGTAGGTTACTGTACTTTTCACCACTTCTGAAGCCCACCCAGATCTCCAATAGGCCAAGGATCTCCAAAACAAGCTTGAAATGATCTCGAAAGTGATCGCAGTGACTCGACTCTCAATCCTTCACTGGCTCAGTGGGTCGCATATCAAGTTACTCCGGTGCACCCATAAGATGTGGATGCAGCCTTGTCTAGGTATAGGGCGTAGATCCCGATTTTGGCCGACTCGTTTGCTAGCACTGAGTTAATTGTATCCCAACCAGGTGAGGATGTCACCATCTGCAAACTTGTTATGATGTGGCGAAGACGTCAAGCTTGATGAGCCCGCCTCACTGCAGGGTTCTCATGCGAGAAATGGATATTTACGGTTTGGGCATATCACTGGAAGTATGGGAAAAGGTTTTTTTTATGGAATGACGCACCAGAAACACCAGGTTTGACCGGAATGATCTCGAGTGGTAAACTTGACATCAAATAATTAAAATAACATCAGAATCAGACATTTGGACCCCCCCCCCCCCAAAAAACGTTGTATTGTTTTAACTGCGAGTACTTCCAACCTGGGTGGCGGCCATTTTTTTTCAAAAATGGCGGCTCCTAGAGCATCTGCCTTGCCTCGAATCATTAAAATGACATCATATTTAGATTCTGTGACTTAGAAAACCCATAAAAGGTGGTATTATTTAAGATTTTAGCTCGTTATTTTCTTAACTGTGATATATGTGGCGGCCATTTTGGATTTTGCCAATATGGCGGTCCCTTGGGGCATCTGTTTTGCCTCAAATCGTTAAATTAACATCAGATTCAGATTGCTCGACCCCGAAAATACCTGAAAAGTGGTATTATTTATGATTCTAGCTCATTTAGTTTAATTGACCTCTGACCCGATTGGCGGCCATATTGGATTTTGCCAATATGGGGGCGCCGTCTTGGCGCCCGTCAAAAATCGAAAAAGTATGGTATGGCCGACATCTGTGCCAAATTTGGTGCTTTTGGAAGAATGTGAACCAATATCCCTAAGACCCCCGACTATAGTAAATTTAAAGGGAATGTACATCATTGACTCCACTAAAGATGAAATGGATCAATTTATAGATGCCGTAAAATTGTAAGGGAAGGGAACCAGTCTAGCTGGCATAACAAAATTTGGACTGAGCAGTAGTTGAAAAAAAAGTTCAGTTTTTCCAACGGTGGTCGGCCGACCACCATTGGAAATTTATACAAAAATACCACTTTTCTTGAAAATGACTTCTCACAAGGTGCCATAATTTTATAGGATGCTTTAGACTGCCATTTACCAACATTCCTAGTAAGGTATTTGGTAAACATTTGGTAGTTTTGTTTTCGATGTTTGCAAATGTTGTATATTCCCTTTTACGAAGCATTTGTGTTATATTACTCCACCTGAAAGGTAAAGTAGATCATTTTCAGCTTTCCAAAATTAACTGACAAAATTATTGTGTAAAAGCCTACTTGGTTTAAAGATGGGGATGGCAATAAAATCCCTGCGAAATGATTTTTTTCTGGCATGCTGTTGCATATCTCACGAATGCAACATGCAAAATTCAAAATTCCATTTGTATTATTTTTACCTATAGCACATCATGATGACGTCATCATAAGATTTTATATGAATTTTTGAATTTTTGGACCTTTAAGCCATATCTCACGAATGCAACATGCAGAATTCAAAATTCTTTTTGCATTTGTTTTTTAGGTGATACGAATTTGCACACAATTTTGAAAAATGTGTGACGTCAAAACTTCATTTTTGAAAACACATATAAGGGAAAGTCTGATCGTCAAGAAACTTGGTGGATAGCTAGATAATTTTTTTACTGGTATGCAAAATCAGAAGTGACGTCACGATCACTTCATCGGTTGATTTTTTATGACTTTTTCAATATTTAAAATTGTATTCTTCCAAAATTGTACACTTCGTTTCATCGGATTGACTTTCAAACTTGGTACAAACCAAGACCACAATGACAAAATGTGCATTGACAAGTGTTGTCAAGATGATGTCATTGCAGGGCATGTGGAGTCATGTGATAAAATTATATTTAGGAATTATTCTAAGCATTTTAAACAACCTTTAACTGCATGAAGACCCCTAAAAAGTGACTGCAAAAGGACCAACAAAACAAACGTGTAAAATGCGAAAAAGCCCTACATGTATGTTCTGTTTTAAACAGACATAGACCTCAAGTTTGTCAGTTTGACAGTAGTTTTCAGCTGAATGAGAATGTGTCCCAGATGCTGATTTTGGGCGCAATTCAAAACAGGACTTGCCCATTGTTGAATGGAATTGAGATCCTAGAATATTGTTTTCTTGGAATATACAGCATTCACAGAGCTAAAACTTCACCAGGTTAGTTATTAACTCAGTCTTTAGATTCTTAGTAGTTTGTAGCAATTTAAATCTAAAAAATGCAAAAATGACAAATGATCTACCCTACCTATTATTTACATTGACCTAACATATGGGATATCGGTAGAAGTGTAACCATCAAACAAGCATTTCTGTGGTATTAAAACTCTATGGTGAACAGGGACGTAAACAGATATCAATAAAACACTTGACTTTGATCACGCAAAAACCAACATGGCAGCCTCATCCCCAGGGCCTACTTTCTTTCCAACCTTGTTTCCAATAGTAGGCCCTGGGATGGGAACTCCTTAACTCGTGTTCTGATTGGCAGTGACATTACAGTATTTGCAAATATATGTTCCATAGTATTGATATATTTATTAACTATGCAAAACTATCCATATCCAACAAATGGACCAACGTCTCTTTAATATTATAAATCAGACCAAGTTCATGAGTACCTGCAGACACGATTTCAATAGTTTCACCACACAAATTAATAACTAAGGACACTGATTTTTTATTTTTTTATTTAATTTTTTTAAATATTTTTTATCAAATTTGATTTGCGTATGTACAGACGTTGTACAGACAGCAACATAGCCTTGCAATGCATGGATTTTTCAAAATTCCAGTCAAGCTATTAATTCTACAATGTAGTACATGTACTAAAGAGACTATGGTGTGAAAATGTGACGAAGATGTGAGTTTTAGGCATTACCAACAGACTATTAATATATGAATCTAGAACACATCACCCACAGGGATCCTTATTTGTATACATATCCAGCATTTTTTGTATGCATTCAAAGGATGTAATTTATGAAGCCCGGGAAGGGACAGGGGAGAAAATTTTTTTGGCATTTGCTAATTCGTTCGCACGAATTAGTAATTCGTGCGCACGAATTACTAATTCGTGGGAACGAATTACTAATTCGTGCGAACGAATTACTAATTGGTGCGAACGAATTAACAAACTCCAGTAATTCGTTCGCACGAATTACTAATTTTGAACGAATTACTAATTCGTTCCCACGAATTCCTAATTCATTCCCACGAATTACTAATTCGTTCCCACGAATTACTAATTCGTGCGAACGAATTAGGAATTCATGCGAATGAAATAGCAATTCGTGGGAACGAAATAGTAATTCGTGCGAACGAATTAGCAATTCGTGCGAACGAATTACTAATTCGTGCAAATGAATTAGCAAATGCCAAAAAAAAATTCCACCCTGTCCCTTCCTGGGCTTCATATGAAGTAGTTATATCGTGAAGTGAATTTGTAAAAATAACGGAGGTTTCTTTTGAAAAAAAGCGAGTGAAAGTAAGAAAACAAATAAATACAAGCATTTTTTGATGCAAAAGGGTTGTTGAGAGGTATTTTGTGAAAACAGAAAAGACAACAAGATTTAATTTTTATTTATTCAATCATTGTGTTTTGGTGTTTTTTTTGGAATTGCCGATAACATTTTTAGGGTCGCAGCCTAAAAATAGGGTCGGTCGGGTAACCGGAAGCAGAAGTATTCTTTTTTTTGGCCTAAGTATGATTTTTGGGGGCCAAGTGTGCGGACCAAAAAAAAAACCCTGCCTACATTTTAGAATTTTTGCTCCCCCCCCCCCCCTCCGCGAAAATTCCTGGCACGCCCCTTGGCACCAGCTCTAATTGGCTGCCAGCAACCAATTCCGAAAAATAGAGCGGGAAGAGGTGAATCTTCCCAGAACTTCAAGTATCTTGGGTTATGGGTCGACGACTCCGAGCAGAGACAACCCAACCTCGTCCCCAGTGCTTACTTTATTTCCAACCGCGTTTCCAATAGTAAACCCTGGATAGGAAACTTTCTTACTGTATCCTGATTGGATACCGCAATTGGCTAGTAATGGATTTTTATCGTGTACTTGGTGCTATTATTCACAACGTGCAGTATGTGTTTTTGCGATCATTCGTCCATGCCTTCTCGAAAATACTAATTTCCTTTCCAATTTGCTCATATTAATATGTAATATGATACTGCATGTTGTCTCGATAAGATTGTTACAGTTTGATTTCAAATCGTGTTTTTCGTAACTCACGCCGTGCTCGCGCTGCTACGAATTGACTCTATTTTTACCCCAGACACCGCATACAAAAACAAACGCTAATGTGTAACGCATATCCAGGCACCAGACTGTTCCTCATTTGCATACGTGTTCAAAAATCTTGCACATGCAAATGATCCAATACCAGGGTGAGAGAGCAGGTAGTGATGGGCGCGTACTGCTCGACACCCTGGGGACGAGGTTGGAGACAACCGCATTCGCAAACCCCTTGCCTGGAACGCTCTAAACGGAATGAAAACTCGCTCCAAAAGGGATGTAAGCTCAGTTTCTTCCGGGCCAAAGTGGAGTTCATCCTGCCATATTGGGGCTAGTGCTGGACCCTAAACCCCGACCCTTCAGAAATCCCTCGATGGGTGTTACACCCGAATATTGAGGATGGTGCTCAACATTGACTGGCCTGGAGAGCCCACGCCCAAGAAAACCAGCGGCACGCTACCGCAATCTCGCAAAAGATCGCATACAGGCGGATGGGCTTGGCAGGACACTGCCACAGACATCTTCAGATGGCAAGCCGTCTGGTGCTGTGGGAATGGATTCTTAGTTTTTTGACGCTATCAATTTATTCACATTTCATAAAGTCGTAGGGTTTAGGGAAGTGAAAAATAGTCATCTATATTTTAATTCGTTATTCCTTTTGTTTCATTACTCAAAAAGATATTTCAAAAGACACATATCTTTGGCATTTGGCAAACCTCAGGTTTTGTTGTGTTGGGGGGGAGGGGGCACGTAGGGGGCATGTGTCAGTCCGAAGACATCCCCCCCCCCGAATAAAGTATTTGCATTGCTATCTTTATTTTTAGTAGTGATTTGTGTAAAATTGGAATCAAACATAAAATCAACTTTTAATAATAGTCATGTTTCAACTCATCAGCTATAGGGCCTATTCCCTTTTTAACTTCCTCCTCACTGATATTGACCGAAGGGGGAAACTCAAACATCGTAATAAGATAGCCATTGATTTTTCAACTAGTGGGAGCAGCAGAACTGAAAGATGTTACCCTGAGATAAAAGAGTTCACCGTACCATTCTATTTCTAGGGTTTAAAATACCCCTTTTCATATTATTCATTTAGGTAATAAAAATAACCTGCAAACTTAAAACCTGATCATTTCTAATTTGACAAAACTGTACCGTAATGAAAAATGCTGCCATGCTGATGAGAAATAATGGCAAAAAGCTAGTAACAGGGGGTCTAAAATCTGATTGATCTAAATGGCAAAACTCTGCCAGATGCACTTCAAAAATCTGCTAGATTTATCAAAAAAATATATCACCTATAATTACACGAAAATACATTATAAACAAAAACTCAAGTTACACTCATTTCCTCAACCCAAGCAAAACACATAAAATTTCCTGTTTAAAATGAATTAATAAATAAAAAAATGGCGTGTGTCTAGCCATGGAGGAATGTTTCTCCTGTTAGATTTTCTGTCAAATGCGTTTTGTCCCCCCTCCAAAAAAACCATTGTCAAATCTAGCCGAAATTCGGCTAAAACGGTCACCCTGAAGATGAGGCAAGTTGCCGAGGCGCGCGCAGCTGCTAGCCACCTGACCCTTTCTTAACGTTGAGGGGGTACTTTTGCATGGATTTTTGTGGAGCACAAAAATTGCTTTTCCGGTCCGGTCGGTCGGTGACGTTCATCGCGAATATTCGTCACGCTTGTCTCAGCTCTTTGCTTGCCAGCCTAGCCTACACTTAACAGCTTAATAGAGGTAAACTCAACCGGCAAGGATGTTTGGTTTCACACTGCAATGCATTTTTGTTTTGGGGCAGATTTTCCTATTCGGTGAGTATTTACCTTCATATTTTGGCGATCCGCCACTCCAGACAGTGCCCTGCCCTCAACACATTTAGGATGGAACGCCGTATTATCGCGGTACTTATCACGTTTCTCGTTTGGAATAGAGATTGCCCACTAACCTTCCAGAATTGTCCTGTCTTATGTGTAGTATAACTCTTCCTTTTTAAATTAATATAAAAAAATCTGACGGGTAGTGTGGTTTATTCCGTGTACGATGCCTGTGAAAATAGACATGCGCGGCGTTAGCCCCATAAATGTGGCCTATTTACTGGACTGCCTCCGTAAACATAGGCCACACATCCACATGTACAAAAATCGTGTCGACGGAGCCAAATTTTGATTTTCACATTTAGGCTTAGTTTGTAGGTTTTTTTTTTGCTTTAGAAGTACTCCTAGAACTATGAGGCTCCACGTAGTGGAGCCTCATAGGTTCAGAAGCCCGCAAAATTGTTGTCAGCACAAAACACTAATTAAGTAAAAAACGTCCATCCCAAGCAGGCCGTTTTCCACAGAACCGCTGCACAGTTTGCCCCTAAACTCCATACAATACCTCATGACATACTCACGTTATGTGCACCCAACAAACATCGGTGGATTCTGTCTGTTTTTCGGCAAAAATGATGAAAAATATGCCCTTTCTGCACTGAGCCAACCTAACACTTGAAACGAGCACGCGTGCAGAATGATCGCAGTTATTTTCGGTTCGATCGCTCGGAGCGCGCCGCGGGGGGTATGGTGTAGGAGCGGAACGATAGTATGCACATGCGTACAAGTGCAAGTACGTACCCCCCGCGGCGCGCTCCGAGCAATAGAACCGAAAATAACTGCGATCATTCTGCACGCGTGCTCGTTTCAAGTGTTAGGTTGGCTCAGTGCGGAAAGGGCATATTTTTCATCATTTTTGCCGAAAAACAGACAGAATCCACCGATGTTTGTTGGGTGCACATAACGTGAGTATGTCATGAGGTATTGTATGGAGTTTAGGGGCAAACTGTGCAGCGGTTCTGTGGAAAACGGCCTGCTTGGGATGGACGTTTTTGTACTTAATTAGTGTTTTGTGCTGACAACAATTTTGCGGGCTTCTGAACCTATGAGGCTCCACTACGTGGAGCCTCATAGTTCTAGGAGTACTTTAGAAGCATACTCACCCTCTTTACAGGCTAATCAGAAAGTGCTGCCTTTTTCAGATGTATATTTTTCGTGAAATTTCCAGATTCATTTTTACACGTTTGCGTATCAAAATTTCAACATGAAATTTCACAAAAATTAGACATCTGAAAAAGGCAGCACTTTCTGATTAGCCTGTAAAGAGGGTGAGTATGCTTCTAAAGCAAAAAAAACCCTACAAACTAAGCCTAAATGTGAAAATCAAAATTTGGCTCCGTCGACACGATTTTTGTACATGTGGATGTGTGGCCTATGTTTACGGAGGCAGTCCAGTAAATAGGCCACATTTATGGGGCTAGCGCGGCGTGTGCGAACGGAGGTGGACTCCCTATTAATTATCGCGGTATGTAGCTGGAGTTACCCAGCCCTGAGTTTTATCATTGGGTTGTCTATTAGGGCTGGAGCGCATTTTTCTCAAAACTTGTAGTATTTGCAAAAAAAAATTGGAAAATGTTCAATTTTGTCCCCGTTACACATTAATTGCAACTGCAACTCACCCCAAACTTGCCTGGAATAACCATTACACAGGTCCTTGAAGTAAAAAACGATCCACGATGAAGATTCAGCCTACAATTGCAGTGAAAACAGGAGGAATAACCGCTAACTTGACAACCTTGCTGGATTGGCCAGGACCGCTATTGGTTTGTGCACAAAAAAAATTGTGTACAATGAATGGCGGTCGATTAACAGGCACAGAGAGCGATCGCTGTCAACTACTCGTTTTGCCGGCTGCGCTGGCTGTTGGCGCGTGACGTCACGCGGAAGCGTAACACCCGATGACTGTTTCATGCACTAGTATAAGGTTTACCACTCGCATCACAGCTTCGGTACTGGAACCGCAACCAATAGTGCATGAAACAGTCATCGGGTGTTACGCTTCCGCGTGACGTCACGCGCCAACAGCCAGCGCAGCCGGCAAAACCGAGTAGTTGACAGCGATCGCTCTCTGTGCCTGTTAATCGACCGCCATTCATTGTACACAATTTTTTTTGTGCACAAACCAATAGCGGTCCTGGCCAATCCAGCAAGGTTGTCAAGTTAGCGGTTATTCCTCCTGTTTTCACTGCAATTGTAGGCTGAATCTTCATCGTGGATCGTTTTTTACTTCAAGGACCTGTGTAATGGTTATTCCAGGCAAGTTTGGGGTGAGTTGCAGTTGCAATTAGTGTGTAACGGGGACAAAATTGAACATTTTCCAAATATTTTTTGCAAATACTACAAGTTTTGAGAAAAATGCGCTCCAGCCCTAATAGGCAACCCAATGATAAAACTCAGGGCTGGGCATGGGCGTCGCCAGGATTTTTTCTAGAGGGGGGCAAAAAATTTTTTTGCCAAAAAATGCTTGTATTTCTCAACACATTCTCGATTTATCAGTTTTAAAGGGGGGCAGGGACATTTTGCCCCCCCCCCCCCCCAACTCATTAAATTTACACCACTTTGTCTTCGCGCCTCTTTTTCTTTTCTTTTCTTTTCTTTTTTTTTCTTCCTTTTTTTTTTTTTTTTTTTTTTTTGCTTTTCCAGGGGGGGGGCAAGTGCCCCCCCTTGCCCCCCCCTCGCGACGCCCATGGGGCTGGGTAACTCCAGCTACGCGGTATGCGGGAAGTGGTTTTTATAATGATCCCAACTTTTTTGTTCATAGTTTATGTTTGACCAAAACACCCCCTGAATAAAGTCTGATATTTTCCCTGTAACGTTCAAGTTGATTAAAGACAAAATGTCTGCAGGATGATTTCTTAAGACCCTGCCCTTCCCCCGAAAGGAGAACACAAATCCCTGAGGCAAGTCTACTGATCGGCGATTGAGGGCGCCATTCACTTTACACGGTGTGCCGTTTTATTTTCGCTAACGCGCGGTGCTTATTTTGATCCCGTAAAAGTTGTTACGATTTCGCGCTGCAAATATCGTCGTTCGACTTCATTTTACATTTGCAGCTCAAGAATGGGAACCAGACAATGGAACTTTCATGGACAGAGCGCAATTAAAGATTTATGTTAAAATATAAACGGTACCTTTTAGCAGACACGGTGAGGGAAAATTTTGCAAGTTTTGGAAAACGTTAATATTTATTAAAATCGTTAAAAGTCCCGAAAGACACAACATTTTTTAATCGTCCTTTTTATACAACTCGGTAGAAAATCCTTGATGACTGGTGAACTGGATAAAAATCGCCACTTGAAGGAGTTTTGACACTGTAAAAAGAGGAATTTCCCATGCCGCGATAATAGGGATGCCGCGATAATAGGGAGTCCGACTATACAAGCACGCCCTCCCTTCCGATCCTTCATGAGAAGCTTAGAAGACAAGTGCATTCGCTCTACTTAGCACTTTTTGCAGGTTTGCATATCTATTACTCCTATCCATCCACGCCTCCAAGCAAAATAAAAAACCTTGCTCCGGCGTGGCCCTGCATTCTATAGTTGCTCCCAGACCCAGTCTTTTTTCTTCATATAAACTCATGTTAGTTGTAGTTTTGAAAGCACTTTCGAAGAAAATGTGACTTTCCTACCTTTTTTCGCAGTCAGACGTGCATGTTGTAGTTCTCACACGCGTGAAAGCCCTACATAATGAAAGCCCGATGCTGATTGGCTGCTAAAAAAATTAATTAGTCTGGTTCCCAGACCAAAAGATTCTGATTACTCCTGAATGTTTTGGTCTGGGAACCAGACTGAAAATAAATAAGTTAGTCTGGTTCTCAGACCAAAAGATTCTGACTATTCCTGAATCTTTTGGTCTGGGAACCAGACTAAAAATAAATAAGATGTTTATTTTTATCAGCCAATCAGCATCGAGCTTTCATCGCATCGAGCTTTCACATAATTTGCCATCTTGGTTTTTGAGACTGTTTTCTGGTTGTCATCGTCGTCTTTTACCCCTGAATTTCCCTCATAAATCAAAGCCCTGCCCTCTTTCCACAAAATTAAACCTGCTGATATTCAAGAAGGTGTCATTGCCAATTGTTCAGATGTGCCAAGAAGTATCAGAATGTCAATTTTGAGTGTCATTTAGTCGACAGTTTTGGTGAGTCTTTCCCTTCCTATATAGGAACGGGGTCCTAAAAGTAAGGATTACCCCTATTTCTATCAAATTAGAATCAAGAATTTTTTTATTACTAAAAAATGACATTGTCAACCTAAAGGCTTAAAGCAGACTTCTCTCAATGCATTGACTCCTTTTTGGTTATTTTTGAACAGTCATGTAGGATGGGTTGCCCTATTAATATTATCGCGGTACTTATCACGTTTCTTTGGAATAGAGATTGCTCACTAACTGACTAACCTGCTAACCTTCCCGAATTGTCCTGTCTTTTGTGTAGCATAACTCTTCCTTTTCAAATTGATATAAACAAATCCGACGGTGGTGTGGTTTATTCTGTGTACGATGCCTGAGAAAATAGACATGCTCGGAGTGTGCAAACGGAGGTGGACTCCCTATTATCGCGGTATGCGGGAAGTGGGTGGTTTTTTTTATTATGATCTCAACTTTTTTATTCATAGTTAATAGGTTTTAAAAACCAAAACATCCCGTGAATAAAGTCTGATATTTTCCCTGTAACGTTCACGTTGATTAACCCTAACCGCCCTGAATCCTCCAAAATCCTTTTTGCAAATTGGAGGAATTTGCAGGATTGAGGTTACATGGCAAAAGTGGGTTGCTGATTTCGAAGTACGCACTGTGTCAAGGTCTTGGGCCAGACCTTGTGTTGTTTATGCTCAGCCGTGCATAAATTTAGCCCTTGATTATACTTGAAATCCTCCGCACTGCTCCAGGATGTCACTGCCTCTGCCTCAGCCTATTGACAGTCATAGCTGGAGGATTTT